TCCGAGCAAGCGAAGACAGTGCATGCCTTAGACCGCTCGGCTACCGTGACCGGGTAATTGAACCCATACCTCTGTGTTATCTATAGGTAGAAAATCCTCTTCCTTGAGTAAGAAAGGAGGCACAGATGCTAAATTTAGTTTTGACTCTAAAGAGATCAAAGAAAAAAATCTGAGTTCCTCGAGAAATATATTAATATCCTCAGATGTTACATGAGGGCTGAAACACGTAACAAATAAAAACTTACTCTTGGCCTTTTTAGTGGTACTAGACACATAAAAATGTTCCTAATCCCAGTCATAGTCGTCCTTGATTTCTCAGGGTACAATGAAATTGAATTAGTAATCTTATTTAGATATTGATTTTTTGCACATGCCTGTCACTGAAATAAACCCAGCGTCGACGGAAGCAGGAACAGTTTCATCAACTGACTTGGCAGTACACGACTGCCCTGCTGAATTGACAACATCGGCGTAACGTGGATTGCATCTTTGCTGAGAAACCACGTCACTGGAAACCGCGACTTCTTTACTGGGCTTGAAATCGGGCGGGAGGACAGTGAACCCTAAAATTGCCATTGGTGTGTTTGGGCTGGGTGTCACTAACACTTGCAGATCTTGTATTTAAGTCTTGAACTGTATTGTTTGATTTGAGATGAGTGGCATTCTCACCCACTTTTGTACATTGTTCACCAAATATCTGATCAAATCAAGCACAAAGCCCATTTAGAACAGTATTGAGCTGCACACACAACACCTCATTTATCGGCATCGATAAGCCGACGAAAGGCAGGTGGCATATCTCGAGAAACCACTTTCTTGGGAAGGTCAGAAGTAGAGTGCCGACGCACGCCAGCATAAACGCGCACTTGAACGTAGAGACCTCTGATTCTATTCAGTATACAAATCTGAGGACAGTTGAGCTGATACTCGTATCAGAAGCAAGACCCTAAGCAATTAATTTCTGTCTGCTATAAAGGTCTTTAGAACACGCAACAGGTTTCTTTACTCTCAGCCGTGACGACAGCAGGATTCTTTATTATTATTTAGTTGGGTGAGATTGAGTCCACTTGGTACTGCGGCCACTACTGGCCTATTGTACCAGCCCCAGATGATAGGTGAGGGTGATTGTGGAGCAATTGGTGGAAAGAAGATGGGCAGAAGAAACCGAAATACTCGGAGAAAACCTGCCCCAATGCTACTTTATCCACCACAAATCCCACATGACCTGAACCGGGCTCGAATCCGGGCCGTCGCGGTGGGAAGCTAGCGAATAACCGTCTGAGCTGTGGCGCGGCCCTGTTCGCAGTGTTAGTAAATTTTCAGCATGAAGCTAACACACCGTTGACGCAGACACGGAGCGCAAGGCAAGCATGTCCTTAGGACACGAGAGCTAGTAGTAGTAGTAGTAGTAGTAGTAGTAATTACCTATTGTGTGCCCCCTCTCCTCCCTCCCAGCAGGCCACACAGAATGGCTCTGAACAAAGAGGGAACCAGCCCCTGAAACGGCGTATTTCTTTTCGGCCAAACACTGGGCACGAGTCAGAATATAAACAAGCCTATACTAAACCACTGTCACACATCTAGAGCCGTGGTCATATGTTACTACGATATTCGCAAATCTTTTTTTTTTTCTTGGCACTACAGCCCCAATGGTCCTAGGCCTACCTCCATGAACTTCTCCGTTCACTTCGGTTTTTCTAGATCTTACACATTCGGTAGGACTCCTTGGGCGGGTGACCAGTTCGTCGCAAGGCCTCTACCTGTACACAAACACAGAAAAACGCACACACACAAACTAAACATCCATGCCCTGAGTGGGATTCGAACCCACGATCCCAGTTTCCAAGCGAGCGAAGACAGTGCATGCCTTAGACCTTAGACCACTCGGCTACCGTGACCGGCTTCGCAAATCTTTACAAGGAAATATTAGCCGGAAACTTGAATGTGTAGTAGTACAATGGTGGTGACTTGCTTTGGCATGTCTGATATCTTCAGGTGCACGTGGTAGCGTAGTTGGTTGAGGCACTGTGCTACAGGCCGGAAGGTCGGGGTTTCGAGTCCCGATGAGATCATTGGATATTTCAACTTACCTAATCCTTCCAGCCGCACTATGGCCCTGGGGCCAACTCAGCCTCTAACAGAAATGAGTACCAGGAATTTTCCTGGGGGTTAAGGGCGGCCGGAGCGTAAGGCTGACAACCTCACCTCCATCTGTGAGCCAATTGTCTAGAAAACGTGGGAGCCGTGACGTCTCACAACCCTATGGGCCTTCACGGCCTGTTACAGAGATACAGCTATTGACGTCAGTGAAATTAGGCAGAAGAAAAAGGATTATACCTCAAGTCCAAAATCCTAAATGTAGTTGCATTTTTTAAAATTTGATGATGAGACGCGTTTGAAGGACAATACTCCGGCGAGCTTGCTGGGATTTCTCAGCAGCTCTACGTAGAGGTCACTTTTTATATGTTTGTGTCTAAATACAGTTAAAGCGCTGATAATGCAAGAAAAGTGACTGGAAATTGTTTCAATGATATTTGCCTGAAGTCAAATTGATCAGCACGAAGAGAACTGGTATTTCAGTATGGATGCAGTTCGAAATATTACGGAACCTGGAATTGAAATCTTTTATTCACACGTGACGTCTGAGAAATATTTCCATCTCTGTTTCAGCATAATTTTCCACGTTGACTACAAGACAACCGTAATCTCGCCCAATCAAGACAATGACGACTATACAATGGGCCTTTCCCAAGCGTCTTCTCACACTGCCTAATACGTTATTGTCTCCGAAATTTTCGTAGAGATTAAACCAACTTCGTGGAAATAAGTATCTTAGAAATCCATGTACCTAGAAACAGCCTTTGTTGAGTAGATGATGTGTGTTCACTTGAATAAGAACTTTCTTTGTTATGAATTTCGTCACTAGAGGCGGAACTATGCAGACTTTTACAGAGGTTAAGTTTAAAAAAATGCATGCTCACCACCATTTTGTCAGATTATAAAACAACTATAGCAGCAAATGTTACAATCAGCTGACAAGCAACCTTAAGGTGAGAGCGACATTTAATTTGGATCTTAAAATGACGTACAATAACAGATCTTAAAAAATGTGCAATTTTTGTTAAAGTTTTTTCTATGAGGTGTAAAATAGCACCATGACAACCGTGTGAAAATTATACCTAGCTTTTGGTTTGATGGTGTGAACTACTGAAACATTTAAGGCTGGAACGGAGATGGGACAGGGAACGGAAAAGGTTTCTCAGAGCTAGCAAGACACCAACAATACCATGTGGACTAAGTCCCACCCCCACTCGATCACCATCAAAGTCCGGGATAATGACCAGAATTTAATAATTACAGTGCAGATTAGGAAAGTTTTTTTTTTTTTTGGAAAGGATGGCTATGACTTGCTGTGGCACTCGAAATAGCTTCGTTATAAAAATCAAACGCATTTTTATTTCACCAGTATCATTGCATTAATACCTTGGTGATAAGATAGATGGTTGCGCCACAACTAACGTTTCTCCGGAACATAACACTTGCTTCCTCAGGGCAGAGGCGAAGTCCATTATCTTAATAGTAATCATATATTCTAATTACCAGATCATCGGGGTAGACCTGACCCAGTGGTCCTCAAAGTGGGCTGTACCGCCCCCTGAGGGCGGTGAGATTACCTAGGGAGGCGCTAAGAGACGAGGGGCTGCAGGAGGGCGCTGGAAGCAGGCCCCTCCGAGCCAGTTGTTCGCTTATTTGCGATTAAAGTGACTTTAGACCCGACATTGGGAAACTGGTATTACTTCATCAAGCTCGTCCATCACGTTAAGAATTTACTAACAGTGAAATAGAGTAGTTACTACATGTGATGTCTTATTGTATTGTTATTACCTTCCTTAGTGGGTTGTGCAAACAACTGTTCTGAAGAATGCATTTATAGGGTATGGCAGGGGCAACTGGACTGACCGCTGCGACTGTTACCAAAACACAATCAAAATGTAGAGCGGCAACCAAACCACCTGAAGTAAGTTCCCAAGCACGGCCGCGCCATAGCTCAAGCGGTTAGTCGCTGGGATTTGTGGTGGACAAAGTGGCTTTGGGGTAGGTTTTCTCCAAGTACTTCGGTTTCCCCTGCCAATCTTCATTCCACCAAAGTCTCCATCAACATATCACCCGGGGCAGGTACAATAGGCCAATCAGTGGCCGCCGTGCCGAGTAGACCCAACTGGACTCCATCCCCACTATGCGAAATAAAAAAAAAGTCCCCAAGCGAATATTATGTGCCCTCAGAAGAAGTGCATAATATATGTACGCCGGAACATGGCCACTGTTTAGAATAACTGTCGTGTTACAAATTAGGTACTGTCACTAAGATCTAGAAAATTTTTACGATTTGGGACTTTCAGGACGGTAGCAGTTAAGATTCTGCCCTTTTGGTTTATTATATTTGTAGTTTCGTATGCATTATGAAGACTCTTGACAGAGGTTCCCACAAAACATTAGTAACACCCACGAAGCTACACGGTATCAGACACGCTCCCGCCTTTAAGCGTTTAAGCAATCTGCAGTGAAATGCTAGTACTAAAACAGAGAACAGAGTACAGCGTGACTACGGTTTAATGGATTAACCGCGATTACCAAATTATTAGATTTTCTGTGAGCTCATAGACGTGGAGCTTAGGCACACAAGGTGTGCAGCGAACCGGTTCCGGGTTACAGAGAAGCAATAGTAGCAAACAAGGTTTCGAGATGAACGTGTGGACGGTTTGTGCGTAAGGCTTACCGCAGTCATTATGTAGTCATTGCACAGTTGTGATTATCAGTTTGTAATCTTCTTCGTTAAGGCTTCAGTTAGTGAGATGATAATTAAGGAGATGGATTTTATTCATATGGATTTGCTTGTAAAAATGTAAATCTGGTACAAAATTCGTGTTTTAGTGATATGTGTTGGTTTTTCCATAGTTCCTTAACATGTCTTCATTGTGTGAGTGATTTCTGAACGTAAACATATACATTGAAAGTATTTATATTCTTATTCCACTGTCAACATTACAAAGAGGAAGAAACGGCAGATTCTTTGACACAGAAGATCAATACAATTTTACATTACAGAAAGGTAACTACATTTTATCGTGTTATTCTTCTTGCTTTGGAAATTCATTACCTTCCCGGAACAAGCATCCATAACACTTGCTCAAGGTCGCATTCCAAATTATTTCGTGAACTTCACCTGTCTCGTGCAGCTATAAATAACAAAAATAGAAAATGGCCGCCATTGTTCTTTCAGATATTGCGTCCGTCATTAGTGTTGTTAGTCAATTTTATTATTTAAAATTCCGCCTTATTCTGCAACTTTCGTTAGTGTTCGATGGTTGTGTAATTGTACGTCACACTCTTCTTTTACTGTATTTGGCCCATGCTGAAAAAACATTCATTGAAGCTGGTCTGAGAGATTTCTACATATGAGAGACTTCGTTAGAATTCTTTAATCCACAATACAGGACGATGTATTAGCTTCACTCAAGCATTGTTGCACTCCCCTGCCCTCAAAGTAATCAGAAATGTGTGAAGCTGTATTTCCACTGCCTATTTTTTCCTTGGCACTACAGCCCCAGTGGGCCTAGGCCTACCTCCATGAACTTCTCCGTTCACTTCTGTTTTTCTAAATCTTACACGTTCGGTAGGACTCCTTGGGCGGGTGATCAGCTCGTTGCAAGGCCTCTACCTGTACACAAACACAGAAAAACGTACACACACACAAACTAAACATTCATGCCCTGAGTGGGATTCGAACCCACGATCCCGGTTTCCAAGCGAGCGAAAACAGTACATGCCTTAGACCGCTCGGCTACCGTGACCGGCTTCCACTGCTTTAGGCATTTATATTTTCATTGCGTTGTGCTTAAAGCATAAAAGAAATTCTACTGTGCTTCGCCTATAGGATTTCTTTAAAGGTCGGTTTTGAAGAAGCAGTTTTGTCAGACACCGCCCTCTGAAACAGATCATAGAATATACTCATACGGATATCCCTTCGGGTCGGAGGCGTGGAAAGCAAATGCACCAAAAATTCAATCTGGCCATCGGCGATGATAAAATGTTAAAAGTACAGCCCTCTATTACTTTGTAATTTTAATACATAGGGCAACATAAGTAAAAATACAGTAATAGAAAAGCAAATAATAAAATAAGTAATTAAAGCCTTGATTTAAACCCACAAGTTTAATTAAAACATTTTTCGATCAAGATACTAAAATAATAAACGTGGTTATTATCTTGGAGGCTGTCTGCCGTCTTTAGCTTCTTCAAACAGTTCGTTTTGGAAACTGAATGGGTTTCCGTTATCAGATGTAATGGAGGAAAGATTCCTACGCAGTTGACCCGTTAGATTCTCCTTTTAATTTCAACAGTGTTCAGTGATCGAAAGTAGCTCTCTCTTTCGCTCTCTCTCGCTCTCTCTACGGGTCCAACTAAGTGGGAACCTTGGGCTATGTCATACCTCAAGCGGTTAGTCGCTGGTTTCCCACTGCGAGGGCCCTGGTTTGAGGCCGAGTCTGGTCATGTGGGATTTGTGGTGGACAAAGTGGCGCTGGGGCATGTTTTCTCCGAGTAATTCGGTTTCTCCTGCCAATCTTCATTCCACCAGTTGCTTCACAGTCACCATCATCTGTCATCTGGGGCTGGAACAATAGGCCAGAAGTGGCCGCAGTACCAAGTGGACTCAGTCTCACCTCACTAAGAATAATAAAAAAGAGTAAGAAATTTACTTCCTTCATGCCTGATGAAGGAAAGAGATCTACATTCCTAAATGTGTTTGAAAAAACCTGAAGGTAATGCAGTGTCCAGAATAATAGCTATGTTTGTTGTAACCCACCATAGCCACAAGCGTTTAGACTATTATTTTTTTATTATTGCTAGTGGGGTGGGACTAAGTCCCTTGTACTGCGGCCACTTCTGGCCTATTGTACCAGCCCTAGATGATAGGGGAGGGTGATTGTGGAGCAATTGGTGGAATGAAGATTGGCAGGGGAAACCGAAATACTCGGAGAAACCCCGCCCCAGCGCCACTTTGTCCACCACAAATCCCACTTGACCAGACCCCGGGATCGAACTCTGGCCGCCGCGGTGGGAAGCCAGCGACTAACCGCTTGAGCTATGGCGCGGCTCAGCGTTTAGACTTAGACCAAACCCAGAGTGCCCGCAGTCAACCCATGCACTTCTGCTGAGCCTACGGTTGTGCTGGGAACTATACAATTGGATTTACCCACAGGATGCTTAGTTTGCGGTATGTGGCTTCTGGTTTGGCAAGAAGTGCCTGGCAGCCAAACGCTCGTTATGCGGTAGCATGGAGATTAAAGGGGTCCGCCCTGGATTCGGTTTAATTCCTTCCGTAGACCTTGAAATCCCCAGTCGGAGCTTAGCAAATACTGACCGAACGGAGCCGGTAGTGTAAAAGAGAGAAGAAGGAAGAATAAGTAACAGTAACTTTACATGGAAGTCTGATGTTTTCTGGGATGTGACACCGCGTAGTCTAGTAGATTGTTACCAATGTTTCAGAAGATTATAAGATTATTGTGCCGCCATCATCAATTTAGTTGCGCAAGAGTAAGTAAACACCCTCACTTTGGAAGTAGAACTTTGCGCCAAAACACTTGTAACGATCTACCAGACTATGCGGCGTCACATAAAAGAAGACAGTAAATAAGTAAAAGTAAAGCTATCCCTGCAACAGGCTGTGGAGGCCCATAGGGTTATGAGATGTTGAGGTTCCCATATTTTCTAGACAATCGGCTCATAGATGGCGGCAAGGTTGTCAGCCCTACGCGCCGACCACCCTTTACCCCCAAGAACCTTCCAAGAATATTCCTGGTATTCATTTCTGTTAGAGGCTGAGTCGATCCCAGGGCCATAGTGCGTCTGGAAGGATTAGGTCAATTGAAAAAAATCCAATGACCTCTTCGGGATTTGATTCCGCGACCTTTTAGCTTGTAGCATAGTGCCTCAACCAACTACGCTACCGCGTGTCCCTCAAAGAAGAGAGTAACTATCATATTCACCGTAGTGAGAACTTCTAACGTCACATGATTTCACGTAAATCGAAGGAGAAAAAACTTCCGAAATCAAGTCTAGCAGCAAGCTCCAAAAACATCTAGTATGAGTATCCCTAACCTCAATGAGCAGAGTCCTTCATCAGAAGCTGATACTCCTTTAACTGGTCAAGAAATCCCCTGCCCTTTAAGGAACCCAGTGTTTTATTGTCGTATTCACAACAGTCGCCATTGAATCCTGTCCTTAGACAGATGAATAGTCCATAATCTCAAGCCTTTTTTTTTTTTACCATTTATTTTGATATTACCATCCTGTCTCTCAAATGGTTAGTTTCAATTCCAGTTGAAATGTTACATTCATTTGTCATTCCCTCCATATTGACTATATTCCCCACGCACCTGATCGTCCCAGATATTGCCTCCGCGCATAATTAAGCACCAGTCCATGAAGATTTATAGGGACGTAGAGGTACAGCCCCTTGTACTATTTTATATATCGGCACGAAATGGCGTGAGTAGTAAACTTCGGACCACATCTGCTTTACTTCCGGAGAAAAACCCTTAGGTACCCACTGGATAGGAGGCTGGGTGGGTTCCACATTCGTTCTGGATCCTGTGAAGAAGGGAAAATTTCTTGCCCTTTCCGAAAAATGAACTTCAATTCCTTCGTAGTTCAGTCATGGCCTAGGTGGTATAGAGACGAATTGCCTTGGCTACCCGTGATATTATCATTCTAATAATACTTTTAAGTACAAATTATGAATCTAATTATTGTGCAGTTTCTTCCTCCTTAGGTTCAGATATTCTCAGCACCCTGTTTTCAGACAGCCTTCAGCTGTATTCTTTCCTTAAGACGAGGGGCCAAGTTTCACACCCTTGTAGGAAAAATTATAGTTGTGTATATTTTAATCTTTAGAAATTTAGATAGATGACAGGAAAAGAGTATACTGAACTGAATGGACATAACTTATATCTGCAGTAACAGGATATCAGGACTAAGGGAACGAAATCGTAAAATCTGTATAATTCAAACCGACATCAAAGTAACATCCGGTTGATACTGACGTTATCACAGCGATACGCTTTAGCTCCTTAATTAATAAAACTGGAAAGGAGTGCCTAAGGTGACCATGAACTTAATGACGTCAATAGTGAAACGACAGGACAGCTCGAACTGCATGGAGACAGGTCGCACTCTAACGCAAACCTAGGCTTCTGACCGCTTCAGTTANTGTGGAGCAATTGTTGGAATTAAGATTGGCAGGGGAAACCGATGTACACGGAGAAAACCTGCCCCAGCGCCACTTTGTTCACAACAAACCCCACTTGACTAGATCCGGGATCGAACACAGGCCGCCGCGGTGGGAAACCAGCGACTAACCGCTTGAGCTATGACGCGGCCCATACACACAGAATAAACGCATACAGACATCCATGCCTCGAGTGTGATTCGAACCCACAATCCCAGTGTTTGAGCGGGCTAAGAAGGTTCCTGCCTTAGAGCGCTCTACAATCTCATTATCGGTGTTAGGTACTGAAATTATTCAGTTTTTTCCTTCGGTATTTATAATTTTACGTAGGTTTATATTTTATGGTCAGAAACTGCCATGCCATACGTGTTTTATACATGAAAGAATGCCACCACAACAATTAGATTTATTATGAACATAATTGTAATTTTCGGATTCGTTTTCATATACTGAACAACAAGAGAAACATGAGAACTAATTCTCAAAAGTCATGACTTTCTTAGTTCCTGCACAATATTTTTTTCTTTTGTTGCCAAACTAGTGACGATGGTTTCTATCAGAATACAGATTAAGCGAAATTTTAAGGAACCCGAAAAAATGAGGTCATGATTAGTTTTGAGGCGTTGTCTATCTAAACCTGTCGAGATACTGGACAATCCAACAGGCTGGATGGTCTTGTGAGAGGAAGGGAAAGCCCGTCCTTAAGGGTGGGAGGAGTCGGACCCCAGAAACTTGTGACACCTCGATATATGAAAAGTAGTTTGATGTATTTATATACATTTTTATAGCGTATTGCGTAGGTTTGGTGGCACGCGGTAGCGTAGGTAGTTGAGGGGCTATGCTACAAGCCGGAAGGTCGCGGGTTCTAGTCCCGATGAGGTCATTGGATTTTTTCAGTTTACCTAATTCTTCCACTTGCACTATGACCCTGGGGTCGACTCAGCCTCTAACAAAAATGAGTACCAGGAATTAATTATATAATTTTCCTGGGGAGTAAAGCCGACCGGCGCGTAAGGCTGACAATCTTCCCGCCATCTTTGAGCCGATTGTTTAGTTAATGTGGGACCTTCAACGTCTCACAACCCTATGGGCCTTCACGGCCTGGTACAGGGATAGCTTTACTTTACTTTTATTGCTTAGGTTTAAAAAACTGATGGAGCACCTTGCCTAACGGGTTGTATCTTCAGTTTTGCATCACAGTTACCTAAACTTGGTTTAGGACACCGAATAGATGCCACCCTCCTCTCGCTAGTCTCTTCAGCTCCCAGTTAGATCAGAGCGTCTGCGCCCAATTAGGACGCCGTAGAATTAACGTCAGTTTTCAAGACCGTGCCATAGCTCAGGCCGTTAGTCGCCGGCTTCCCACCGCGGCGGCTCGGGTTCGATCCCACGTCATGTCATGTGGGAGTTCTGGTGGACAAAGTGGCCCTGGTGAAGGTTTTCTCTGCGTACTTCGGTTTCCACTGCCAATTCTCATTCCACCGACTGCTTCAGACTCATCGTCTATTATCCGGGGCTGGTACAATAGGCCAAACAGGAGCTGACGTGTCAAGTGGGCTCACTCTCATCCCGCGCCAAAGAAACTAAAAAACAAATATACGACAGCCGTCGTCTGCGGTACCCTCGTATGGCTTTTTGGATGCCTGCGAGCATTTTTAAAATATTCGTATTAAATTCTTAATTGTTCGCCTACTGCCACAATCCAGGCTTTAATCTACTCTTTATTAACCTAATATTTGTCCAGTGAGTTCTGAATGTTGTTGTATTCAGGTGTCATATTAATTGCGGGGTTCTGATGTAAATAATGTTGATATTTTATAAGAAGTCGACATAAGAGATCTGATATTTAAATAACGACTCTGTACTCACAGACAGCACTGTATGAAATGTTATTCTGGACGCAGTGGTCTACTTCAGAGGAATTATACAGCTATACAGAAATTCCAGCGTTGTTTCTAACTGTCCAAGCACATCAGAAGACTTCTTCTGAAAGCTTTTAAAACTGCCTTCAGAACCCTCTGAATATCTTCCACAATTTCAAAATATGGCCCCTAGAAATTATTCTTCGTAGTAAGAAGAGGGAAGACGTTACACGGTGCGATATGCGTATATGAAGAACATGCGGGATGTTTAAGAAGCACGATCAGTTTCTCTCGCCAGAGAGGGCCGTGTGTCAGAACGCTTTGTCATGATGCAGGATCCACTTGTCAGGGAACAGTTCTGGGCTCACAGAACGAGCCCCCTGTCTCTGTTGTTGAGTGATAAACAGCTCTCTTTTTGAGTGGAGTCGGCCTGGAGATATCAATTGCATGAACTGCCTCATTGTCTCAAGGTCACACTGAAAACCCCGATTTTCACTCTCGGTGATGATTCTATTCAACCATTTTCCATTTTCATAGATTCGTTGCAATATCAGCGCAAAATTCCCTCCTCAACTTCAGTTGGTCGGTGTTGAGGTTCTTGGGCACAATGCTCGCACAGATTTTCTTACTTACTTACTAGGACCGCGCCAAAACTCAAGCGGTTAGTCGGTGGCTCCCCACCGCGGAGTGGGATTTGTGGTGGACAAAGTGGCGCTTGAGCAGGTTTTCCCCGAGTACTTTGGTTTCCCCTGCCAATCTTCATTCCACCAATTGCTCCACAATCACCCTCACCTATCATCTGGGGCTGGTACAATAGGCCAGAAGTGGCCGCAGTACAAGGGACTAAGTCCCACCCCACTAGGAATAAAAGAAAATTTGTGCAATATGTTTTTGTTTATGTATACTGCCTTGCCCGAAAGTAANCTTACTTACGGAGCTGAGCCCATCTTGAGGAGCAGCCAAATCTGCAGCTACTCAAGAATTTCGCAGCATTTTATGGAACCTCAAAGTTCATTACTATGTTCATAAGAGCCCTCCACTGGTCCGTATTCTGAGCCAGACCAATCCGATCCATACCATCCCTTTTTCATGTTGAGCTATACACTACTTAAGTTAAAGTACATCAACTCTGTACTCACTATACTCGTCAAGAAAAATCTGATACCATGTAAGGTTCGAGCCCTTCCAGTTGAGTACCAGGTTATTGACTTGAAACTGGACATGAACCATCAACATCACATTTCACTCAATGTGCTGCAGTTAATACAGTACTGTAAAATGCTGACATATGACTCCTAAGGACGTCCAGCATTTTCCGGAAAAGATTGAGGGAAACCACATTGTAATGTCAGAACTCTTTAGAAGCTAATTACTCGTATACAGCTAATCTATAAAATCTCTACTTTTATGGAAACCAATTAAAACTCACCTGAGATGTCCATTATATTTCACATTCATCCAACCAACTTCTCACAGATCAGCTTCAGTGTTATCTTCTTATTAGTTGCACATATTGGGCTTTACCTTTAGGCTTCTCAACAAATCTGAGTAAGATATTCTCATTCCTGTTCAAGAAGTGCCAATTAAATTTATATCTCTCTGCGTTTTCGTTTGTATTCGTGTAACATTTCAAAAAGTGTTGAACAGTCTTTTCCAAAATCTGATATTGTGGAGTTATACTAACATTATTTTCATAATCCAAACGTTGTTAAAATGTGGCAACAATACAGGACCCCACACCAACTCCAATTTATGCACAACCATGATCATCTCAAGTTTAACTCGACAGATATTTACTCTAGCAAAAAATGTTTCAAACAAAAATTGTAAGGAAACGTCAAACACACACATTTCAAGTTCAATACACTGTTTCTGTGAATGTTACAGATTTTGAGATAGTTTAAAAAAGACAATGAAAGCACCAAAATTGTGATGCTGTGCCTTTATTTCCTGACTTGTTATCATTAATGCCACATACCTTGCCTATCTCTCCTTTTTCATTCAAACACCATAACAGTATTAATACAGAGTACAAATTACGAAGATCCTTTGTATGTAATTATCTTCTGCCCCTTTGTTAGTTCTGCTCTCTTAATCTGAATACGTTAAATAAAACAGATTATGAATAAAATTAGTCACTCCCTAGTTACACCTTTCTTACTCTCACCCCTCGAAAGTTTGCCCAAACTGTGTACAAGAGGAAGTATGGTCAGTGCCTTGAATACTGTTTGGCAGTGGATGTTTCTACAGATGGGATGCCGCCTTCACGTTTCCCTGGTACTGGTGATGTTCTGGGTCCTGCCATCCCATTTGTATGCTGCAGAAGACAGTAGTGAAAATTATGGCGGCATTGAGAGGGCCAGACAAAAGACTAATCTGCACCATCCACCATCTCCTTGCCCCAGTGTGTTCTCATATGAGGGACGAGAAGCAGAGAAGGATAAGTGGTTTGGAGTCATCCTTGTTACTACAGAAGAGCTGCTTACAGGCTTACGACTGGACTTGATGCTGGACAGGCCTGCAAGTTTGCTAGGTGTAAGAAAACCTCTTTGATATGAGTATTATGTATTATCTTATGAATATAAAGGGGCACGCAGTAGTGTAGTTGGTTGAGGCACTATGCTACAAGACGGAAGGCAGCGGGTTCAAGTCCCGATGAGGTCATTGGATTTTTTCAATTGACCTAATCCTCCCAGCTGCACTATTGTCCCAGGGTCGACTCAGTCTCTTACAGAAATGAGTACGAGGAATTAATTAAATAATTTCCCTGGGGAGTAAAGCACAGCTGGAGCGTAAGGCTGACAACCTTACCGCCATCTTTGAGTCGATTGTCTAGATAATGTGGGACCCTCAACGTCTCACAACCCTATGGGCCTTCATGGCCTGTTACAGGGATAGCTTTACTTTACTTTTACTTACTTTACTTATGAATATAAGCCTATAGTATGTGAGAAGGTTCATATACAGTCTGGGTAGTGGATTGTTGTCTTGTTCACCTTTATGATACAGAGGGGTAGATTTTGCTTCTTTTCACATTTCAAGCCCTAAGAGCTGACAATAATCAAGTCCTCAAAACTTATTTACACGCTAAGGCACTTTGCCTCATTTATTTATTATAACAGTCTACCATCTTTATCTTTAAATAAAATATTGACCTGTGTTACTGCTACTTTTTTTCAGTACATCTAGTTGTATATATTTTCTATCTCCCATTGCATTCCCCTCTAATTGGCATGCTGCAGGCCTGCATCCTGTATTTAAATGGCCACATGGCTTGAGCTACATGAAGAGCACAAAAGATCCAGAACAGTGGAGTTGCTCTTTTGTGTCTCAGTCTGCTCATGATCCATGTTACCATGTTAGAATGCAGTAGTTTAAACATATCTTCATACTTTGTAAATGGAAATTTCTTCTCTGCAATCAGGTTCTTTATAAAAGGAAGTAGAAATATATGTCCATATCTTAATGGCACTTGTACTGTTCATAATGCATCAGTTTAAATAGCAAGTTAGTTGGACTGGGTAACATCATGAAACTTGGGTAGTGAGAGGTGGTTACCTATGTGTCAGAGGTAGAAGTGCTTCTATTCTGAAGAAGGAAGCAGTAAGTTCCTCCAAAATGATGGTAACCACCTACTGGACTACACTGTGTCATGATGCAGAAGACCACAATCCAAATGTAAATTGTTGTTTGTTTGTGGTTTATTTAATGATGCTATTTCATCTTCATGGGGTTTACAGTGCTGAATAAGGGAACAAGTATGAGTGATGATGTGGGAAGAAATGAAAAGAAGCAGTTGTGATATACATTTAAAGGATCTTTGTTGATTGCATTTTATTCAACATCTTTAAGGGTATTAACATGGCTGCTAACAGAACAATATATATAGAAGGTGTCAATAAATATATGTTGAAACGTGCTATGTTAGATAGATGGGTTCAATATGATCATATTTTGTTAATACACTCATGTCCGGAAACGCTTCCTTTTGGCATGAAGGATCACAAAATTTTCCAAGAGGATGCATAAGTTTTAGGGGATGTTATCGTTGTCTTACATTCTAAAAGTTGCTGAAAATGGCGGCTGTCAACTTCACCACTTGGCCATGTTATGCCGAACCCTTTGAAAGATTCCAGGCTTTTCCTGGATGTTTCCAGCTGCTACTGCATTCTTGCCACAAGATCATGTTGTGTCTTAACTGGAGTCTCATACACCAGGCTTTGCATGTTCCCCCAGAGAAAGAAATCCAGTGGAGTCAAGTCAGGGGAGCGAGGGGGCCAGGTTATGGGGCCTCTGTGTCCAATCCATCTGTTGCCAAAGGTTTCATCCAAATACTCACGGATGACATTAGTACAGTGTGCTGCGTTGCCATCATGTTGGAACCACATTCACAACGGACTTCCAAAGGCACCACTTCCAGCAGCTTGGTTAAGGTCTCTTGGAGAAATGTTAGGTAAATCTCACCAGTAAGCCGCAGAGGTAAGAGGTAAGGGCGTCCTCCTTTACATTATGGAGCCCTAGTGCATAAACACAGTGTTTCTGGACATGGGTGTATTAAGAAAATATGATCAGATTAGACCCATCTATCTACCACAGAGCACTGTAACACACATTTTACTTCATAATATTGTCACAATTTGTGGGAGTGACTATAGATGGGGTATGGATTTGTGAATGGATTTATTGACCACCTATACACAACACTCAGAAGTAAAAGTAATTGCAACACTATCGCTTATCTCCACACTTTACATATCACCACAGTACCCACTAAGCCTTTTCCAGCCTGCTGTGTCTTCAAAGGCTTTTTCCTAGCTATGGCTTCCAACAGTGGAGATGCTTCAGCTTTCCACTCTCAGGTCCTATCTCACAGCCGCCCCTACAGAACTCTAGTCAGTTGTCAACTCAACTATGGTGCCATCTCTTCTCAGCCTCCCTTTCAGAGCTCAACAGAACTTGTTGACTCAGTTTATCCACTTTGAACAGACCGAGTAGAAAAACCTTTTTCAACAGTAACTTCATTGTTGTGTTCATATTCGTTGCAGCAGGAACATGTTTACTAATCCATTGCTCAGAAACGGTCGTTGTATATTCGCCTATCCCACAACCATTGCGTAGAAACGGCTGTACGTGCCACAATATGAAAGGGCCTATTTAACCATAGTATACCTTTATGCATATTTTGCAGACAAATTTTAATTCATGGAACTTGGTCCGAAATTTCATAAGGGCAAAATTTAGTTACAGTTTTCCAATTAGAACAATCCGAGTCAAATAAAAGAAAAGATGGTCGATTTCCGAAGCAATTTTATATTTAATGAACCTTTTTATTTTGTCATCCTGTTTAAACTTCTGGGTCTACATAGTGTGGAATGATGTGTGAAGTCGAGGGGTTGTGGCTTGATTTACTATGATATCCTGACATTTGCCTGGAGGGACTTGAAAAAACCATAAAAATGTCAGGATAGCCAAGGACCTAACCAAGATTTGAACAGGGTGTATTCCTAATACAAGTCTAGAGTCGTAACCATTACACCAAGCTATTTACTCTCAGCTATAGCTATCTATACTGATCACAATAGCCATGCGGTCAAAGCATGAACACTCTTCACCCACTCAAACACTGGGATCCTGGGTTTGAATGCCACTTGAGGTGTGGATGTCTGTGGGCTTCCATTCTGCGTTTGTGATGTTCTGTGTGTAGATAGTGAGTTTGCAATGGTCTGAATCCCCACCCAAGGAGTTCTACCGACTGTGTATAAGATTAAGAAACTGAAAAGTCAGCCAAGATCCAAAGGGCTGTAGAGCCATAGAGAGAGATAGCTATCTATAAGTAATCATTGCATAACTAGAAGCACATTAACTTTATTAAACAATTTCATTATCCAGAACATAAGAGATATCTGTTCCTATTACAGAACTGGATTGGTGAAGTGAAGAGTAAAGACAACACTCGCTTTACCATCCTTAATCTGAACCAGACAGTGATACCAGGTCCACCACTCTCCATCCGCATATTTGTTAAATTTCCTGAAGGCGAGAATATACCTAGACTACGAAGCATCCACGTCAATGGCCGACAGATCTGCCCAGCTGATCATGGTATAATTTTGATAATAATTGATGACAGTAATGATGGTGGTGGNTATATTAAGCTTGCTTGCTTGCTTGCTTGATTCATTCATTCGTTAGCTCTGAAAATGGAGATGTTCCTTTCAGACGTTGCTAAACTTCTGTCAGACTTCACAGCATCACATCCAAAAAAATTGTACAATCTATGAATTATAACTGACTACACTTTATCTAAGTTAACAAAACAGATCCTAACAATTTTTTTCATTGCTTCAAGATTATTGTAGAAGTCTGTTTCAGCCTCATAACATCTCATTTTTGATCTTCTTAAAACTTACTTTCCTTTTGGATTATAATTCTTTGTACTTTTTAGCATGCTTTCAATCTATGTATTTGACCTATTTTTACGTTTGTTCTCTTCCAATGGATACACTTTATTACTGTACACTCTTCTGAAGTATTCATTCTCAATTGTATCCATTTCTGTGCAGCTCTTTGAATTTTGTCTTAACTTCATCTTTCTTACAAAGGCAAAAATAATACTGTCTAATGTGACTATTTAAGTTTTATCACTTGAGGATTTATCTCCCTTACATGTTTCGATCCTTACAGATCACAGCACAACAGGCAACGCATAAACACGGAAATACTAAGAATCTCCTTTCGCAAGATAAACAGGCCGCACAGGACCAGCCACCTCCACGAATAACAATAGGAGATTTGACGTGAACCTGTATGGTTCATAAATTTTAAGCTTGATCTTGAAAGTTTTTAAAACAACTTTTTTAAAAACTTTTAACACCAAGAAGGCCGTCATGAATGTGGAAGGTTGAACATTGCATATATTGTGCATTTTAGACATCATATGTGTATCTATACAATTAACATCTATTGTAATAGTAGTTTCCGAAAGTATTGATACCCTCTGAGTATAATCCATAGGGATTGAAACATGTAAGGGAGATAAATCCTCAAGTGATAAAACTGAAATACACGTAGTCACATTAGACAGTATTATTTTTGCCTTTTTAATTGTTAGTGTGACGGAGCAGAATGAAACAAATCAAATTCGTCTTTCTTCTTATCCACATCTCATTAACATATGTCAGTATTTGTAATACCATTGTTTTAGAAAACCTCAGTTCATTATAGGCTCATGGTATATGCTAAAATATAGTAAGATTAATTCTGCTAGGTTACAACAAAATGGTGCAGAATTTATAAACAAGCTGTTTTGAGTTGTTTGTCATTTTTCTAGTCAGCTCATATTAAATTATAATTTAATATACAAAATGCAATTCCTTAACCCTAGAAATACAAGCTTTATTTTCTAAAATGCCAAGTCACCATTTAAATTGTCAGTGTTGTTATTCTTTTTGGGTAGATAATGTACTCTGTATAAAATTTTCTTTAAAACTAAAAATTGTGAAAGGTATGCACGAACGTGTATATGCATATAAAGTGCCAATAGATGTTATGTTCTGTCAGATATACATAGAAGCTCTTGTGAAGACAGAAATTTTTGACAATTTGCATGTATAAGTTTAACAGAGCCTCAACCAATATACAGTACATTATAGAATGAAGCTGGTCTTCTCAAGAGATGATGAGAAAAATGTATATAAATGTAAAGAGGCTAAGATTATCAAAATTTGGTGACCAAAGTCTAAAAATTAATCCTTTGTTATGCCTAATTCAAACAGTTATGTCTTCAGGAAGTATGCCAGTCACCCCAGGACCCATAACAACAACCAGAAAAAACCCCCCTGTGACAGTAAGACGACAAGACAGTGATGTAAGATCATCACCTGAAACAGGTATGTAAGTATTTTATCCTACTTTCTTTTCCAACACAATATGCCTATATGTAAGTAAAAATTCAGAGACTGAATGCTGAAATAAAGTAGGATATTTGATAAGAACAACAAATATTTAATTTAGGCTCTAAGTAACTGGCAATAGAAAATAATGATTCTACCATATTAAAATCATGACATATGGGAGAATTCCTGAAGATATTATCTAGCCAGATAAAATTAAGCTGAAGAGACTGAAACATGGCCTTATTTTTAAACAGAAACCCTGTTAGCATACTGATTAAAGCAGATGTGGATGTAGGTGAAGCCAACGTTAGTATTATATGTCTATTGTGTTTCAGGACATTATCCATTTTCCTGTTTTTATTTAGAACACAACGTTTCAAAGACTGGATTATGTCTCCATCTTCAGGTGGAACCTATTCAGTTGGGCCCAATCAATAGAGCTAGTCTTTGGACCAGAGATAGGGACCCTGTCCTCTTTAAATTTAAATCATCATCCTGTTGTTATTTAAAACACAATGTTTTGGAGACTTGATTCTGTCTCTGCCTTAAGGTGGAACCTACTCAGTTGGGCCCATCAGTAGAGCTAGTCTCCAGACCAGAGATAGGGACTAACTCTGTCATTTGGGCCCGACCGAGTAGTTTCCACCTGAAGGCAGAGACAGGATCCGGTCTCAGAAACGTTATGTTTTGAATAAAAACAGGATGATGGATAATGTCCAGGAGCCCGATAGTTGTATTAATGTACCATCAACACAAAATTTTTTATCTTAATTAGGATTATAGGTTCAAATCACACTTAGGACATATGAGTGTGCATTTTATATGATGATAATGATTCATCATCATCATCATCATCGTTTTTAACTACTCTTATGCTTCATATTATGGCTTATACAAAAGCTACTGTAGAGCACAGTTAATACAACAAATGATGCACTTCAGCTTCACTTCTGTTTGCCTGCCCTTTACATGTGGCATTTGCATTTCTGCTGTGTTGGTAGTGTATGTCATATTTACCACTATTTTTCGTGGAAAGATGAGATCAGATACCACCTGCTCTGTCAATAAGTGGTCTCCCCTGTTTTTAGCTTTTTAGATTCCATAGTCAATAAATATCAATTTTAAAATTCAAAGGAATATTTGCACACATTCTGGTGTTCTTATTCAAGCAGGATTCTGTTAGTTGAACAGTTTTAGCAATGGTCCTGGTAGAAGTTGTATCATAATTGTTATGGTCTCCCACCCTTCATTGCTATGCAGTTGTCTTCCACATGGTTTTGCAACATATGTCCAATTTGCTGTTGTGTATGTCGGTTGTTTTTTTTTAATGATTACATGCATGAAGTTAGAATTATAAAATGTTCCAAAAACTCAGTCAGGTTTTGACTCTATTGGATTATGAACAGCACTGCCTGTTTGGCAATAAAGGCTGAGGTGTAGAATTGATGACTCCTTTTAGAAAATACTGGCAGACCAGAGTTTTCTGTTGTTTCCAAAATATCTTCTTCTAATCTTCTGATGATTATTCTGATGGGCTACACTCTGGCATAGAATTTTATCAGAATCTCTATTCATAATTTCCGCAACATCTACTTGTGGTAATGCTTCTTAACTTTTCACTGCCATGGCTCTATGTCAGTGGAAATCACAAATACAAAGATGTACAGTACACCAAAAATCAGCTGTAGTCTAGTACAACTGTCATATCTCACATGTGAAGTGCCTCATTGTCACAGATGCTAAATATATGTGTGTCATAAATGTAAAGATAGAAGGAAAAAGATATCACAAAGTTGGTAATGCCTATGATCAGTGACTCATCCATGAACATATGTTGTTAGGTCATACCAATTGGTACAGCCTTAATCAGATCAAAAAGACTTGAACATTAAATCAACTAAAGTTAACACTGCCATTATTGTAGACTTACTGATGAATTGATTTAAGTTGATTCTGACAGTGGATATACTAGAAGTATCTTGGGATCAGAAATACATACATACGAGTAGTTTGAGGACTAGTAGAACAAGAAAAATAAACATGTCTGTTTACATTCAAAGGTGGGGTAACAGAATGTGGCAGAGTTGCAGTTCAGCCTGCACCACTCATCACTCATGGACAGAACACAGCAAGGGGTCAGTTCCCGTGGCATGCTGCACTTTATCAGTCCAAGGATATCCACCTTAAATACATCTGTGGTGGTTCCTTAATTGGGCCAAGGACCATCCTCACAGGTATGGATTAAGGTTTTCTTGACCATTTGATAGCTATTCTTGTAGTCAAGAGATTCCCTGTAGCAGAACACCAGATATTACAGTGGCCTCAGATGCTGCCATTGAACAAAATCCCGAGTCATTTCAATGCAGTTCATATTTTGACATCGTATTCATCTTAATGGTTTTGTAACCGTACGCACTCTTCACGGAGGTATCTTATCTGTTTATGCTTGGCGATTTGGTTTGGCTGTGGAAGTGAGATGCCCCGGAGGGTTCATGGTCCTCTGAACTGGCCTTTTGTTACGAGGGACAGAAGGGAGGTTGGTGAGTCCATTGCATTCGGGGNGGGGGGGGTGTGTAGGTATACCTCCTTTCGTCTGTGCCTGTGGGGGTGGAGGACCTGTGGATCGAAACTTCTAGAAGATGTGCAGACCAGAAGGGGTCCGTGCATTTGGTCATGAAGCCCTCCCAGTGGAAAGTTCGAGATGGCTAAGAACGTGGTTTCTGGAAGCAGCAGCGGGGGTAAGGAGTTAGTTAGTGAGTAGAAGCCAGGGAGTGAGGGAGTAGAAGCCAGGGAGTGAGGGTGTTCATGTGGAACCTGTGCTAGGGGGTTAACCGATTGAGCCCGCATCAAAAAAAAAAAACGACGTAAGCAAGCCAACACCCGTGTACCCCTGGGATATAAGACTCATTCCGCTGAATTTAGTCGAGGCATACACTGCGTGGAAGTGAAGCGTGTGGGGACGGGTGTAGTTTCTTTCCACTTACATATACATTTCCAAAGTAGTGCAGCCGTTTGTTTCTCCACAAATGCCACTATACTCCCTGTTACTCAGAATCCTCAAAAGAAAAGAAATCGGACATCTGATAATTTCATGTCAAATGCATTGATTGAATTTATGTTTTGTCTGTCTCTTCAACATGGGATATTTTGTGTGTGTATTCCATATGTTCACAATGAAGAATAATTTTTCCACACTTAGCTTCATGCCCTATAAAGATGTTACTTCCACATTTGATACCATTCCATGGTGATATATGAAACCTGAATATAAATAACTTAATGTCATTCAGTGTCCTAAACAATTCTGTTATTTTCCAGCTGCACACTGTGTAACCAAATCAACTGTCTCTCGACCAGTAGAAGCAGACACTTTGCTTGTGTACTTGGGGAAGTACCATCTGAAACAGTGGAGTGAGGGTGGCGTGCAGGATAAACAGGTATGTTGACCAAAACATTAGATAACTGCACCCTGAACGCATATCCAGACACTTTTCTTGCAAGCCTGGGGAAGTATCATTCATCTCAAGCATTTTGGTGAAGGTAGCATGCAAGATAAGCAAATATGGTATGCAAAACGTTCAAACATGTAGTTGGAGCGCTGTCCCCAAACCAGTAAATGCAGTCACTTTGCTTATATACATGTTAAGTATCATCTCAGACAGTGGAGTGAAGGTGGTGTGTAGGATAAGAAGGTATGATATCCCGAACATTAATATATTTACCATACAGCAAAAGTTGTGGTATCTGGGACCAAAAATTATTAGAATATATTAGAACGTTATACTTAATATGTATCCTAGTGTACCTAGCAACCTTGTGGCCAGGCATAACCATTTCATTTGTCACTTAATAACCTATTCTGCTTTCCTTTCCATACTTTCTGTTCCCTCTTCATAACTACTCACTTAACATGGCTTATATACAGGGTATTTCACGACTTTAGGGCATAACTGCAGGAGGTGATTTCCTAGGTCTTTGTGATCAAAAAAGTTCATATAAACATGTGTCCGATTTTGGACGGTTACGGAGTTATGACCGTTTTTTCATTCCCGTACACACCCTCGTGTGAACCGCGTCTGTCAGCTGTCGGGTTGCTATTTTGAGCCAGCTACAGGCAGAGCGTTCTCGTTATCTCGACACTTGAGATGTTGTACCTAAGGCGGGTTGGGTTGGTATGTCCAGCGCGGTTCACAACCGAGCGGCAGCCTGTGTTGCGGCTGGCGGTGGAATTTTCGAAAATCAGCTTTAAGCACCAATAAATTCAAATTAAAGGAAATTTCACGAAGTTAACTTTACATTCATACTTTAAATGTATCATGTATTATGCTGGTTTATTATTTTGTCCCGTTTATTGTCAGTAATTGTTACCTTCTATTCTGAGTTTAAAATGGTCATAACTCTGTAACCGTCCAAAATCGGACACATGTTTATATGAACTTTTTTGATCACAAAGATCTAGGAAATCACCTCCTGCAGTTATGTCCTAAAGTCGTGAAACATCCTGTATAATCTAAAAAGGAAACAAAACGCCAGTATTTCACTCTTTTAGGTGTTATATTCACAATCAAAACAATTTTTGGGCAGAGGAGCCAACCAGAATATACAGTGCTGGATATCGCAGATTTTATGATAGTCTGATCTCTATACGCTGATCACTAGATCCACACGCTTTGCTTGTGTATCAGGGGAAATATAGATATGATGTCTCGAACATTGAAACATTCAGTTGGACTGCTGTACCCAGACCAATAGATGCTTCCCTTTACCTGCCTACCCGGATAAATAACTTCTGCAAAAGGGAATGAAGGCATGCAAGGTAAGCATGTATAATGTCCTAAACACAAGCATGCATTTGGAGCGCTGTGCCCCAGACCAGTAAATCCATTCACTTTGCTTGTGTACCTGAGTAAGTGTCACCTCAAACAGTGGCATGTTGGCAGTGTGTAGAGTATGTGTATGTCTTACTTTGTTCATGTTGCTCCCACTTGGAGCATAGGGCACCTGTGAAGTGCTTCATTTCACTCCAGTTTCTTAATCTTAGACATTCCATAGGACTACTTGGATGGGGGATCAGTCCATCGCAAGGCCACTACCTACACAGGACAACACAAACACAGAATAAACACAGACAAACATCCATGCCTTGAGTGGGGTTCGAACCCACGATCCCAGTGTTCAAGCGAGTGAGTGAAGACATTTCGTGTCTCAGACCATGCAGCCACTGTGGTTGGCAGTGTGCAGGATAAGGGGCTGTTTTTTTCCAGTCATTGAAACTTGCAGTTCTACCTCTCTGCCCTAACCAGTAGGCTAGACACTTTGCTTGCATACCCAGGGAAGTATCTTTTCACGCAGTGGAGTGAGAGTGACATCCAGGATATGCAGGTTAAGGTTCTCAAACAGTGAAATATATCACTGAATCACAGGGTCCTATGCAGTAAACTCCAATACTCTCTCTCAGAGCTGACGGCACTTCTGACAAAATCACTATGAAATATGAAATCTTAAGAGTAAAATTAAGAAGAAACAAATAGAATCCTATATTGGTATGTTTATAAACGTTTTCATAATTTATGTTTTACTTATTATTTCCTTCACCTTATTAAAATTTTTAGTCACAGCAAATAAGAATACTGAAGTGCATCAGCTCATAAAAACATAATTTTGAACATCATGATGGGTACCTGTTAGTCAAAACATGTTAGTCTCTTTCTTTAACTTCCAGTGAAATAGTGCAAAGATGATAATAGTTATGCGAACTGTCAATGGTATCACTGGTTTTTGTGTTAGAAGTAAAGCTTGTATGTGTTCAACATTTGCTCAGGTGGCCGAGATCCTGGTGCATCCAGAATACAACTCTTCAAACTACCAGTCTGACCTGGCCTTGCTGATACTGTCTAGTCCTGTCCAGTTTACCAAGTATGTAAGACCAGTGTGTCTTTGGGACAAGACAGAAGTTGACTTGGAAAACGTTATTAATAAGGAAGGCATTGTGAGTAATACTTCATACTTCTGTCTTTATCACAATCTAAATAAGGAGTTCCACTCTTCACAGCTCCTAACTCATCTACTGGCCCACTAAATATAAAACTCTGTATAATTTTCGTCTTTTATTTTGATATAATATATAAGAAATAATTGATTTAGATACAAATGGGGGTTTAAAGATAATTACAATAAACTTTTTTGCTTATGCATGGAATCATGTATTACACTGATGTTCAAATTCTGAAAGTCTGGTTAATGTTGGCTAATGCACAACTGACTGAAATGTGTTTCCTCGTTGACAGTGATGTTGTTAATAGAACTGTAAAACCAAATCATAATGTTAAGAAAATTTAAGAAAATTTTATTCTTCATGTAACACTAGGATATAACTTTATCTCTGTAATTATTAATTCCTATGCTTTAATATGTTAAGTTTCTTGCTAAAAATGCTTTTCTTCAACATTAATCACAATAAAGGAGAATAAGTGGTTGAATGAGGGACAGGAGGAAGAAGAGAACGTTGAAGTACTTTGTCTTAATTCTGGTAGCCCTAATTCCATTTTTTCTTCTCACTTTTATGCATTCAGATTTGTCCACAATTGTGTCAAACCAATATTGGTTCAAAGATTGACTGGGAAGTTGCTGACAGGCAGACATTCAACTTGCCATCTCTCCCAATTTAGGTGGGAGACTTCCTATTTTTGATCCATTCTCCCACTTTCCTAATTAATGAAGTAGTCTCCCAAATCTTTGTAAAAATGTTCCAGTTACACTTTGTATAGTTATCTCTCATTTAAAAAATCTGCTCATTTGAACCTCAAAGCCATTTGTTATTTGTAGTAAACTGGTTGGTGCATTCTTCAATCATTAATCACAAAGTACAATCCCTATATTATACAGCAGATTTCATTTGCAGAGGCAGTCTTGAGGGTTCAGTTTTTAAGACTGTCCCTGCAAATTAAGGTGCAACAGGATGCTGAAATATAATATTACTGATTGCATTTTGGATACTTGTATCCATAGAGTGGCACAGGTGAAGGCATTCTTGGCATTCACATTTGAGACACTAATGGGATTGGCTTAAACGTAATTTATAATTGAATCTTGTTTATGATTATTGGCAGCAGGAGTAGCATAGATGGTATGTGTTTATAACTTCAGCAGTAATGCCATTTTGCTGATGACTGTGATATTTATCATTTATATTTTCCCATAAGATATGAAGGGCATAAGAAAAGTTTTTTAAAAAGACTTGCCCACAGGAGTTTCCTTGTATTACCAACTCAATAAAAGTTACCACAATACAATATTTATAGAATATGTAGATGCTACTTTTCAGAGTCCAATGCAGGAAGTACAATGTATAAAATCTGTGCAAGCAATGAAACGCAAAGAAAACTGTAAGTATGTAGAAGAAATATGATTAGATCTTAGGTTTAGAGTGGAAGGTGATGACAGTACAGCATATCAGAGGTCATCTTCTTTGTATAGAAAACTTGATAGCATGATATAGTGGTGAAAGACCAAGACAAATAAAGGCACTGGAGCTGGCATGTATTGTGATGGAATGAGGCAGAAGCATACCTTCAGCCTCAGTCAGTACACAACAGTATTCAAGGCAGAGGTATATGCCATTAAGGCATGCACAGTTGAGAATTTAGATGGGAACTACAGAAATAGGAACATCTACATATATCCTATCAGAGAGTCAAGCTGCAATTAAAGCACTTGGTACACATCAAATCACTTCAAAATTGGTTTTGGACTGCCACCAATCCCTCACACAACTGGCCAGACATAACAGAGTACAACTGATATGGGTGCCAGGTCATGACGGTAATGTAGGGAATGAAAATGCAGATCAACTGGCAAGAACAGGGTCTGAACAGCCATTCATAGGACCTGAACCAGCTTATGGCAGCTCAATTGGAGTTGCCACAAAAGCGATAAGGGACTGGACTGATAGAAATCACAAAAAACAATGGGACTCAAAGAGGCAAAAGGATTTATATCAGGACCCTCTGCCAAAAGAACAAGGGACATGTTAAAATTAAACAGAGATCAACTCAGATGGGTGGTAGGATTACTTACTGGACACTGCCACCTGAAAGGGCACCTTTCCAAAGTGGGACTGACAGAGGACCCAACTTGTGAAAGGTGCCTACAAGAAGATGAATCAGCCCTGCACATCTTATGTGATTGTGAGGCTATAGCTTACTTAAGATATCGCCACATGGGTCAATTCTTCATGGAACCAAGTGACTTTTATGACCCCCCCATAAACAAAGTCCTACATTTCATTTGAAGGGTGGGATTAATAAAAGGTTAATCCAAAGGGGAAGCACAATAGACCATTGAAGGTCACAGTGCTAGGGCCAGTTTCATGGCTCACCCCTCATACTCATACTCATAGTGGTGAAAGAAATACTGTAGAAAGTAGTTGAAGATGCAAAACTAATACATCACATCTTACCACACAACAAATACCACCCAGAGATATGAACTCTCCTAGGATGCCACTGTCAACATTAACAAAATTGTTTCCAGTAACAGATCTGAAAATATCTTGTCTTATTATTTACATCCTGTTGTGTGTCTTTTTACAATTTTAATAATAATTGCATGTGTTATGATGATCATAATGATCAATAACATGAGACATGTTTAATGAAATTGTCTGAGGATGGTCCAAAATATGGACTGAAATATGTATCAGTTATTAAAGAAACCCAATGTAAAGAACTAGATTAATTTATTTTGAAATATCTGTTATGATGACAGTATCACCAAAAAAGACCTAAAAATGTTTAAATTATCATTAAAATAACATAGATAGCAAAATCTATAGACATCAGAATACCACTGTCTGAAAACAAGCAAAAGATGCATTATGAAATTTCAGGAAATTTATCTTATGGTTGAAATAGATGACATATATGAAGTAACTTCCTGTACTTCATGTTCTCGGAATATCTGTTACCGTACACCATTCTGAGACCCAGCGTTAGGTGATGCTAATGCTGCACCCATCTCGTAAGTTTGTCCATCCACAACGTTTTTGTTATGAATTGTAGGAAATTAAGAAATGTAAGCTTCAGATGAGCTACAATGGCATAAGTTTAGTAAAAAGTTCCTATAAAATTTAACAAGTGGTTTGGAAGTTGAAAGTGAAAACCAAACACAGAGCATGATGAAATCACAAACTACTTTTGAACCTTGAGAAAGGAAACTAGGATGATGATTATGATTATGATAATACAGTGACTATGACAGACAGCAACAACACTAACAATAACAGATAATTATTCGTTCATCCTTGCACATAATTGTTACACAAACTTTCACAGCTCAAATTATAATGTCCCTGAAAGAGAGGAAGAGAGAGATTGTGTGTGCGTGTGCAGATGTTGGTGCATGTGCGTTTCTGTCCCTATGTGTATGTGTGTGTGTGTATATACATTTTTCATTCTGCAATCAACAGGTCACAGGCTGGGGGTATGATGAGAATGGGCAAATCACAGAGGAACTGAAGATGGCAAAAATGCCAGTCGTATCACAGCAGGTCTGTCTGTGGAGCAACCGTGATTTCTACCCTCACTTTACATCTGACATGACTTACTGTGCGGGATTTCGAAACGGTATGCACAAATTTATTGACTCCTGGAGATACTGGCTTCTTAGCAAAAATTAGAAATATGTGCTTCAGTTTGGAGTTGAATTTTATGACATTTCACACCTTGTAAACTGCCTAACATTACTGAAATCAGTGGATGTACAACAGCCAGTGCCAATGGGTTAAAAGTACCCATATGGAAGATGTGTTTTATGTAGTTCTATATGTATCATATTCGTTATATATAACCTGAAACATACAGGATTCTCAGCGTAACAGTGTGTATTTTTGTGCATGCTTCTTATAAAATAATCGGGTTAATTAACTTGCATTAGTAAGGTATTGTACTCTCAGTGAATATTTTGTAACCATGTGGCATGTGTTTACTTACACCAGTAACAGTCAGCAAGAGAATTAGAAATAATTTCTCCACTACTGCCAACTTAGCCAAGTTTGTTCTGTACAACATACAGGTAGCAGTGTATGCAATGGTGACAGTGGTGGTGGGATGGTGTTCCCGAGGAACTGGAGTGATGGCTCAGTAACATGGATGCTCCGTGGAGTTGTCTCCCTTAGTAAACCAAAGGGACTGAATCAGCCTGTGTGTGACCCCACAAACTTTGTTGTGTTTACTGATGCTGCAAAGTACCTAGACTGGATCCAAAGCCATGTCAAGTGAAAATGTAATTAAATGCGATTTACAATATTCTTGCATATAGAAGAGAGGAAATTAAAATGGAGAAAGGAAGTAACTGTGTTGTGTTGTAGTGAGTGTCTGACAATTTTATTACAGGATGTGTTTAAAGCTATTGTATCATAAGAATAATTAAATAAGTTTTAAACAAGAGAAAATAATTGTTTAGCATTCTGCTATAAAATTTGTGATATCTTAACTTTCTTAAATTTTAATGATTTTTCCTTCATAACAAGCACATAGATCTCGAAGGACATGCAACAGAATTTGGCGTGATAAAGGTTCCAGCTTCATACCAGTTGCAGCCTAAATATTACTGGATTTTCAATTATGAAATACCGTTAATCATGCATGTCTTGTTGATTAGATATCAACAAAAATAGACACTGTTTGACGAGCCATTGTCCAGCAACAAAGGGAAGGATACACATACAGACACACAGACTGATGGAAGGGATTCATGAAGTATGCCACTGAAATACGCTCAGGTGCCCTGTTATGCATACCAAGCTTCATAAAGAGTGGTTCAGGCATTCAAAAGTTGATAGGAGGAGATACACAGAGAGTCAGGATGGTGATCTCATAAGCCTAATTTATTTTTATCAAAATAAGGAAAGTAGGCTTATGAGATCAACTTGATCTGTGTATGCATGTGCGTGAGTGCGTGCGTGCATGTAATGCAAAGTAATAACCTAATGTTTCTTGAATGCCTGAACTGACCATCATCGCTCTTGGTATATTTACCATACCATATGAGGCTATATCGGTGTTATACTCCATAAATCCCTCCTGTCACTTATGAGGGTAGTTAGTTAGTTATTGGAGAAGGTGGGTTTCCCCATGCACTGAGACCTGTATTGGTCCATTGTGCTTCCCTCTATGATTTCTACCAGTCTCTATATCCTACCGGTACTGGTGCTTACCATCAGTCCCGCCCAGCCAGCGAGACCGGCTCTACTAGCTGAGAGGTATCTATAATGCTTCCCCCATCTACCAGAGGTATTAGAGACTGCTGTTGGGCGGGAAACGTCCGTTAATTTGGCTCAGTGACCTCCTTTGGAGATATGAGGTTCTTTTACGTGCCGTAAAGCTACGACACGGGACCCACGGCTTAAAGTCCCTCCCGGAGGACTTGTTCCCTGAATTTTTCCGCCCTTAAAAATTCGACGACCTCCGCCGGGTATTTGAACCCGCATACTACGAGTCATGAGGTGGGAACATTACCTCTAGACTACGGAGGCCACTCACTTATGAGGGTAAGTCAATAAGTAAGTTACAAATGGATATAGAACTTAAACAAATAAGAGTACTGATATGAAAAATACTTTTATTTCTCAACATAATCTCCCTGTACATTGAGGCACTTGTCCCATCGTTTCACAGCCCCTGAAAACCAGCAGCTTAAAATTCTTTGGGCTGCTGTTGGAACCAGGTGGTGACTTCCCTTTGTACAGCTTCATCGTCAGGAAAATGTTCAGCCAAAAGTTGATGTTTAAGAGGGCTGAACAAATGGAAGTTCCTTGAGGAAAGACTCATCACCTGTGACAATTTGGGCTAGCATATCATAGCATATCCTTTATCATGGTAGCAATTGAGATGCTGTAATGCCAGATCCATTCTTTGCATTGTGTGTTGTGGAGTCAGCATGCCCGGCAGCCATCGTGCACAGACTTTGTGAAAACCTAACCTGTCATGCATTATGAGGTAGGCCATGCCATGTGAACAACCAATAGCAGTGGCTATAGTGTCTATAGTTACCCTTCTGTAGGGAAGTCACCGCCTGGTTCCAGCAGCATCCCAAATAATTTTATGCTGGTGGTTTTCAGGGGCTTGTGAAATGATGGGACAAGTGCCTCAATGTACAGGGAGATTATGTTGAGAAATAAAGGCATTTTTCAAATCAGTACTTTTATTTGTTTAAGTTCTGTATCCATTTGTAACTTACTTATTGACTTACCTACGTATAATAACATTGCAGCTCTCTGACAAAGGCTCTCCTGTCCTATAGCTATTCACACCTTCCTTTTGGTGCACCCTGTTCTCACAGACAAAGTTCTGGAAACAATTTTACCACTTAAATTATTTTAGTACATTAAGGTTCTATAAAAATTGAGTTGGCTTTGATTGTTTTGCTGACCTAGTTACATATACATAAAAAGTTTCCTCCTGCTTTTCATATCAAATACTCAGTTTATAGTGAAATGACAGTAGACAGTTCTTCCCAGAACTTCTTGTTTACAATACAATAGTTAAAATATTTTATGTTATTAACAATTGAAATGATCTGTTTTTCTGTTACTGTATCCATTGTGTTGCACATGACTGCGTTACTCCAGTGGCATTGTGCAATTACCCCATATACTGGAGTAATGCTGCCAGGAGCACCTTTTCATAATTTGGTAAAAAGGTACCAGGAATCTTCCTGGGGTGTAACAGGCGGCCATGCAGTGGCCATGAAGTCTAAGGCAAGTAAAGGTAGCCTTGTCCTTGTTCTTAATTAATTAAGGACCATGCCATGAAGATGTATGGGAGAGTGAGGAATAGCTCTACCATTCTTGACCTCTGCATTAGATGGAAGCGAATGGTCAGCTTCAAACCCCCCATTTGACCCTCCCACATGGGGCTAGAGCCCACTATACCTATTGGTTAAGAGGCTGGGTGGGCTCCGGGACCAGTCTGGACACTGTGGAGCAGAAGAAATCTTATGTCTATGCCAGGAATTAAACTCTGGCTATGTAGCCCATCACTACACTGGCTGAGCTATCTTGAGAGACCAGTATAAAGTATGTGCTGCTTTCAGTCACTTGAACATTGGGATCAAGTTTTCAAATCCTGTTTGGAGTGTTGATGTGAGTCTGCATTCCTTCCATATTGTGTTGTCCTGCGTAGGTAAGGAACTTGTGATGACCATACACCCATCCAACAATTCCTAACAAATGTCTGTGAGACTGAGAGTTTCAAGATCTACTTGCAAATTGGAACAGGTCAGAAAGCCAGAATTCATAAAAAGAAGAAGATGAAGAAATTTTTATGATATGTTATTGACAAGTCTTGTAACACCCTTTAATAATATCTAAACAAAAACACATGCCTGCAAGGTAGCATAAAAAAATAAGCTGATTAGAATAACTCCCAGCTATGGATCTCTGCATCAGACATGCTCTATCTCTGTTTCTTGCAAAAGACTGCAAGTCAGGTAATCCAGGCAGTTATAAAGCACAAGGACAGTAACAGATTTGGGGCAGTTCCACTGTCTTTACCACAGTGATTGTCACTGCGATATGTGGCATTCATTTTGAATTGTTTCCAGTTACAACACACACAGGCTGACCTTGCTTACATCCCCTTTGGAGATATCTTGAACCAAGCTTCATGGAGAAATGGCTAGCACCCTCGCTTCGTATTTGAGATGTTCCAGGCTCGAATCCGGTCCTGCTACCAGCTACTATCTCCATTGTGACTATTTGTGTTTTTTGTCAGCCATTTTGTAAAAATGATGGGACAATACCTTAAATAAGCCATGGCAGGTTTACTCCACATTCTTCATTTATATTTACCATAATATTAGGCCGTATCTTCAACTGAAAAAAAAAAGTTTGTAAACAAACAAAGAAGAATAAGACATAGTGAAACAGAAAAATCTAGTGGCAACTCTCTAGGCTTGTATCTGGAAGGTGCTCGGATCGAATCTCGGCCGATACACCGGCTATTCTAACTGGGGGGTTTCGTGGTTTTCCTCGGTCCCCTCATACAAGTTCCGGGATTTTATCTGAATTAGGTCATGACCGCTTTTTTCCAGATCCTTTCCAATTTTTCAGTCACCAGACTATGCTACACTGTATTCTCTGGATACTGAAAAATGTTAAATAATCCAGAAAAAAATAGAATGTCGTGAAGTATCGTTTTAATTAAACTAATCCGACGATATCCTCAAATGCTCCATACCAACGACTGCTTGTTTTAATACTTGTATTGGCCTGTATTCCATACACACTTCTGCCCACTGTCTGCAGTATTTACACTTTCAGTAAGTATTAATCATTCGCAAATTTATACGGTTTTCCCAACTCTCCACATTCAAGGTTAATGTCACGAAGTGTCAGAAGGTTCTCTGTTCACTTCCTCGTGAAATACGGTTCCGTTAAAACGAACCGCAGTTTCCTGTCTTATTACATGCCCGGAGCGAAGACAGGCCTGGCAATCTCTCAGCTCTTAGGAGCCAGTGTGAGTGTGAGTTCGGTAGAATGCAACATTTGTTGCTGTCACGGGAGACGTGTCGAATCATCCGAACAATGTGGCAAGTGAAAAGCGAAGAATAGAAAAGTGTCGGTGTATTTCTGGACACGGATGAACTTTTACTCAGTTCATTCACTAACAACAAAATTCTTTCAGGTATGGCGTTTTTATGGTTGTGATTCGGAAAATTAAACACTTCTTTTGGAATGGATCTGCAAATGGGACATCCGTATATACAATTTCAGTTTCATCTAAATTCAGGGCACGTATCAGATATATAAACCAATGTTTAACACCCACGCATACATATTCTCAGCGCTGTTGGTTGTAGGCATTAACATTTATTACAGTAAAACTTTCTTGTTGTTATATGATTGTAATGCGCTACTCTGCAGCACTGTACCTCCAAAATTTTACAGAGGCAAGACTGGAAAGTGGAGTAGAAGCTGTCTACGTTCTAAGATTCATTGAGAAGCTAATTTCGCTTGTCTAAAGGTCGTTCCCAACAACGTGTGGATAACGAATCTTCTACAGCTAGCAACATTTATATAATATGGATTCGTGAATCCCCGGGGATTTCAATTCAATCTTGAGCGTCTGTCTAGCTCCGAAAAGCTATTATACGCACTTCTGCATATCAGTTTACAATTCCAGCGCGGCAGCAGATTGGAGATCCAAGTTCCTTCACGTATATTTTTGAGCGATGACGTCATAGAAATTGTACTTTCCTGGTACAATCAGGTAACGGTAAATTTTGCCATACGTTCAAGCAATACCCCATGGAGGCTTATGGAGAACATAGACGTAAACAGCTACGCATTCCAATTTAATGGAATTAAATAGAGAGTAATATTAGCTTCACCCTCGAATGGCTTTATCTCTGGGGGAAGAATCCATGTGATTGGAGGTTGGAAGCACGTTAGAAGCACCTTGTTAGTTGTCGGAGAAGATAAAAATTTCTGCACCCTGCTGGCAGTAAATCTCGGTTATCCAGATAAAAAGTAAAGAAAAGCTACCCCTGTGACAGGCCGTGGAGGCCTATAGGGTTGTGGGATGTTGAGGTTCCCACATTTTCTAGACAGTCGGCTCATAGACGGGGGCAAAGTTGTCAGCTCTACTCGCCGGCCGCCCTTTACCCAAAGAATATTCCTGGTACTCATTTCTGATAGAGGCTGAGTCGATCTCGTGGCTATAGTGCGGCCGGAAAGATTAGGTCAATTGACAAAAATGTAGTTACCTCATCGGGACTGGAACCCGCCACCTTCCGGCTTGTAGCATAGTGCCTCAACCAACTACGCTACCACGTGCTATGCAAATAATATTTTTTACATATAGTGCAACAATTTAAACACCTGATGATGGCCATATATTGCCGAAACATATAGTAAGGAAGAAGGGTGAATAGATAATAAGTTGCATTTGAAAAGAAAATATATGTGAAATAAATTATATAATAATGCACCAGGATGCTTAAATACAATACAATAGCTGGTCGCTTTACTTACCGCGTTGTCCGTGCGCTTCATTATAATGGGCAGACTTCACTTTTAGGCATATGAACAAAAATTAGGGTTTTTAATACTTTAAAATAAGTAAACTTTAGCCGCGTTTTATAGCCAATAATATTTCCACGTGTTAGAGTGACTCTGATGGGGTTTGGTTTGGAGATTGGATTTATTGACCACTTAAGGATCGTAACTACAAGTAACTTATATAACAGCCTCACGTAATTACACACTCTAGATATCACTGTAACTATAGCACACATGAAGCGTTCTCTGTCTTCACTAGAAGTTTGCTGATAACCAATTTTAACAGTGGAGATTTTTCATCTTCTGTGCTAACTGCACCGACTGAGTCTTCCCGTCACAGATTTCTTTATACTCGTAATTCTATCAGTGCTTCAACTAACTTCCAGGCTAATCACCATTTCACATCAACTTCCTAATCGTCTCTTCACAGACTGACTTTCAACTAGCTCTTGCAACTCGTTGCTCCAAAGCTTCCTGATTGTAACACCTCGGCACGGACCCCATAGAAACACAATTTCTCTTGCTGTTCAATTATTGCTTATTAAGAATCTGCTGCCTAGCAACGGGCATTGTTCCGTTATTTTGTTTCGCGGTCCATGTCTATAAACGACTGTTGTTTCAGAGTCGTTCGCTAACAACGGCTGTTTTCTCTGGCTCCACAGTTCCTGCTTTGAGCAATTATACCGCAGTATATTTCAAATATTGTGCCCCTAAACTTACAACATAAATATTCCACATTATAATAAAAATTCCAATTTTCCAGATTTTATTATATATGAGAACGTCTGAACTCCTTTAGAAGAAAATATTGCCTTCATGTCCAGTCCGATGGGAATGGCTTGTGCATCAAATTAAGGAACTTTAGGTCCATAAATACGGGGTAGAACTAGCAGAACAAAAATATTGAACAGTCACTTTCAAATTCCATCACCGTAGTTACTGCATAGTACGATATATAGTCGGATTACTTTGCCCTTAGCCATGGTCCTGTTAGTACAACTTCGGTAGTACCGATGCTTGTAATGTCCTCCGAACGCCATGTTGATGCGGCAGCGCCGCTCTGACGGAAGGTTCGGATTATATTTCGATGCCAGGGAATAAGAGACCGCCTCTGTGGTCTAGTGGCCAGAGTTCTTGGCTACAGATCCAGAGGTCCCGGATTTGATTCCCGGCGCTACCAGATTTTCTGAGAAGTAGTGCGTCTGGGATCCACTCAGCCTCGTGAGGGTAACTGAGGAGCTATTTCAAGGAAATAGCGGCTGACCACGCGACACCCTCTGTCCACTAAAGTTTGTACTAATTTCGCCGACAAGCAGAGGTCGCTCGGTCGGTATAGTTCGCTTGCGGAATACAGGTCACGGAGTCTATTTTTTTGTTTTTGCCAGGGAATAAAAACTATGGGGTAAATGTGGTCCCTTCCTTTTTATTCTTTCACTTACTTGCACCTGCATGTCTATTTTCACAGCACCCGAAATACTAATGATATAACCACACGGTATAAATCGAAACTTCCCTTAGGTAACAAAGGATGTGAAGGTGGTAACATTGTCATAGTTTATGGAGTTCGACAGTTGCTGTCTTATGGAGAAGAAAGTAGGGCAGATACTGAGAAGAGACGCCCTAACTTAAATAGGAAGTTAAAAGAAAATGCGCAACGAGGAAGTCTCGCTGTTTACTGATCACATATTAACCGTTTACTTCAAAGTAAACAAGTGCGTGCAAAGTGCGCGTCTCTAACTGCCAATAGGATAAATAGCCGCTAACTAATTTAATAGTCTCATTCTCCTTTTATGGCCCTATCCACCACGGTCTCACATCTATATTAAATTTATTGATTCTTTAAAGATATGATGCGATTCTTTGTCCAGTCCAGTCACTATGACAGTCCAGCATTACATCGCGAGATAACACAGAAGGATATAGCCAAAATAGAATGCAGGCCCCCAAGCAATATTCGATTCACGCATGTAACCTTCATTCTGCTAACACCGCGTGACCTTGGCTTACTAGTATCTGCAATTGCCCTTTGAAGCAATGTCTTCAAACTTCGAGAAAACTGTATTCTCTCATCGTCTATCTTTAACACACACGCACACACGGTTCTTCTTCGACAGTTTTGTTCACCAAGTGTTACGTTTTCATATGCCTGCGTTCTTATTCTTGTATGCACGGCCATGCATCCCCTTTGTTGTGGTGAAATTTTGTGGTTTGCCGTAAAAAAAACAATTCCGTGGCCTGTAGTCCGCAAGCGAACTATACCGACCGAGCGACCGTCGCTTGTCGGCGAAGTTAGTGCCAACTTTAGCGGATAGAGTTTGTCACGTGGTCATCGCAGTGGATGCCCACGGCCGTTAATCTCGGTTTTCTAGACCGGAGCCGCTATTTCCTAGAAATAGCTCCGCAATTATTCTCAGGAGGCCGAGTGGACCCCGTTCCGGATCCACTACTTCTCAGGAAATCTGGTAGCGCCGGGAATCGAACCCAGGAACTCTGGCCACTAAACCACAGAAGCGGTCAGATTCATACATCTTTTATGGTTTAAGTTGTCAATGTAATCGCACTATATCTTACCGTAAAATATGTATCTGTCACGGAAATGGCCGTAAGTAAGACAGTAGCAGAAACGGATTTACGGGTACGCGAACTACGAATTTTGGTGCTTGGGGTCACGACTTCCGACGGGCCCACAAATTGATTGCTGGACATTGTCATTTGTCCACAGTATTGCTGGAAGCCGAGATATAGCAGTGGGTATAGCGACTGTCTACGGACTTGAGGGCCGAGGCGTCAGGGTTCGAGTCACGTTAGGAGCAAGATTTTCTTCTCGCCACGTCGTCCAGACCAGTTCTGAGGTCCATCAAACCTCCTATCCACTGGTACTGGGGACTCTTTTCCCGAGGGTAAAGCGGCCAGGGCGTGAAGCTGACCACTCACCTTCAGCTACTATTGGGGTCAAGAATAAGTGGATCTATACATCCACCATCCCGTAAGCCTTCATGGCGTAGTGCGTAATTAGTTAAGCACAGGGACAACTTTACATTTTTACCGTCGTGTTGCTTAATGTAATGGTTCCCAAACTATATGCCACGCATCGATGTGGGGCGCGAAACTTTGAAAGTGGTGTGCAGAGAAGCTGTGGAAATGCTCCAAAACTGAACTACGAAATAATTACGAAATATTTACTGACCATATAAAATCCATAAAAAGCAATTCAATTAGCAATACTTAACTGTCCAGTTGTCTTGAGATTAGGTAGTCTTTGAATTTGATTGTTGCGCGTGTTATTTTTAATGAAACTGCCCCATCACACTCGCATGAATTTCGGCAGGATTTCCTGTTTTCGGCGGTGTCTTTCGAAAAGAGCGAGTCTGCTATCATTCAGATATCTTAAGATTATTTTAATATTGGATATGGGCTTGTGTATCATATTGCTAGTGATGCAAGGGCTGTCCGATTCTTCTACAACCCCCTGTCCTCGCATGTTGTCAAGCATTTCTTTTACTTCTGCTTGTTTTGCTAGGGGTACCCTCCTCGGTGGCTGTCGAATTGGTCGGGCGTCTCCCGTGTCTGTGCGGTGATATACTTTGTTTGTTCTTCCATAATCTTCGTTGTCCCTCGCAAAGATATTCGCGTACTTGGCCGCGAGTTCCTCTATCTCTTGAAATTCTCTGGTGTTCAGGCGTGGCTTGGCCGTTGTGGTCACGTCCGCTAATTTCGGTTTCAGGCCTGGTTCTGGTGGCTGCCCCACATCGGGCAAAATCACCAGTGTTACTGGCTCACAGTGGGCCAGAGGAGATCCTCTCCTGAGCATTTGGTCCCTGTGGGTAGCATTCATGACCCTCACTGGTACTTCCTGACAGTCCTGAACTAGGGTCCTGGCTACATAGATTCCATCAGGCGCATGGGCCTGCGGGCTTGGTTCTACTAGACCATTTTCTACTTCCAGATGATTCTCCATTCTAACCATCACTATGCCCTCGCTCTGTGTGGGTATCACATGGTCCTTTGCCACTACCAAGCTGGAAGGACGGGGTCCTGCCCCTGGACTCCATAACGATACTTCTTCTTCCACCAGACGCAGAGTTTGGTACCCTATATCCACAGACGCATCATAGGCGCGCATTATGTCCAATCCCAAGATGAGCTCATCGGTAATATTCGCGACGAAATCCACATTGTTAGCGGTCGGCGCCCCGGAGTAAGAGTCAACAGAACTTCTTTCAGAATGGGTAGGGATCCTCCAGACACGGTCTGCAGCGTGAAATCTGGATTTGGCTGTCTTTCAAGCCATCCGGCGGAGATATCCGGTCTTACTGCCGTGACGTATGCTCTATTGTCCACTGTCACCTGGCACGGCTTATCACCGACCCATCCCTGAGTGACCAGACTGGTGTTGGCTTTTTCCGTGATGTCCGTGAGTGCGTAGTGTGGGGGCCTTAGTGCATATGCCGGCGTCCGCCCCTCACCGCCGACCCTTGCTCGTTTCCCGCCAATTGGTCATTTCTCCAGCTTGTTTCTCTGTTGTTACCGGGTCGCCACTCTGATCTCCCCGGCGATTCCCGCTTATTTCTTGGTGGTCCGTCTTTTCGGTCCCGGTACTCTCTATTTCCAGTTCCTCTGCCGTAGTGGCAATTGCTCTCAGAGTGCCCCAGCTCTCCACAGTTTCAGCATCTTGGCTGTTGTGCTTTTCCTCGTTGAGTGGGGGACGATCGGAACTTCCGGTATATCTTGGTGTTATTTTCGTGAGGTCGGGCTGCTACCAGTACTGCCTGCAGCTCTAGCGCTTGTCGGAGGGCCTCTTTTACCGTCTTCTCCCCACCCAGCAGCAGCTGAATCTTGATGTCAGCATCGCTTATCCCGTATGCGAATGCTCTTCCTGCTTCTCTTGCTACGTAGTCTGCAGGTAGATTGGGTAAGCACGACGGGCAAGCATTTCGATGGCCGTGGCGAAGTCTTGCAGAGGTTCTCCGGGTTTCTGTGTCCTCGTTGTCAGTTGGCAGCCGTAAGCAGCTGCAAAGTGTTGGTCACCGAAACGGTCCTCTAGTGCCTGAAGGATATCCTCGTAAGTTGTATTTGTCGGAATGCCGGGTAGCAATTCTGCCGCCCGGCCCTTCAGAGCGGTGATCAGGTATGTAGATTTTTCAGGGTCCGACCATTGGTTCTGTTCCGCTACTGTCGCCGAAACACTCTCCACGTTGAATTTCTGTTAAATGTCGGTGGCTGAGCTGTGGTCGCTACGACCGTTGATTTGTTTCCCCGCTCGGCCCTCGTCTGTCTCGTCTCGTCCAACCGGGCTCGGAACTCGCGTTTCGCCTCCTCAGTTGCTGCACAGGTTTCATTGTAGTTTTTCTTTAGGTCTTCCTGGAGTTTTATTGTTCGCGCGCAGAGGGACTCTTCTGCCATCTGTAATTTTTCTTTCATCTCTTCCTTGCCGGCCTTCCTATCGGCCGCCGCCTTTTTTTGGTTGGCGTCAAATTTTGCCAGGAAATCTTCTTTGTCTGTCTTTCTATCGGCGTCCATTTTCGCCACTAGGCGTTCGAACAATTTTTCCACCTCCATCGTGTGGCAGTATAATTCGTTTCAATAGTTCGTCCTAAATTAAGGCGTGTTTAAGTTCGTAGACACTTCTGACACCAATGTAACGTGTTTTGCCACTGAAAACACCGTTCAAATTGTTAATTGGTTTATTTAACAACCTACAAATCGTAACTACAATTAATTATAACACAGTTGCAGGTTTATACAATTTATAAACCCTACACAATGATCTGTTCACTCTATCTTCAATAGTCTTCACGTATTCACAGTACAACACGGGAGCTATACCAGTGTCACTGTACTACACACTCCCAATAACTTCTCACGCTGTCGCCTCTAATCACACGTCCGGTCTTCACGTTCACGATTCACTCGCTACAACTGAACTCCAACTGACTCGTTACTCACGATCCACACTGTCACTCCTAATCACACACTCTGTAGTCACTGTGTGTTCACATAACCTTTTATTTGTTTCCGTTGATAATTGTACTGAAATACTGTAGTCATTTGACTGTAGTCAACTCCGATAGCAATAATGCAAGATCCTATTTCTGTATGCGACTACATTTTAAGACTGTTCATGCTAAGCTACAGCAATTAATGTACATACAATACAACAATCCAGTGATGTTTTTATCACATGCCATGCTGAAGCACATGAGGAAAATAAAGACACCAAAAGAAAGTTGTTCTCCAGCTTACATTAAAATCGGCATTGCTAAATGCAAGTGAGCACTAGCAATGCAATGCGTGTGTCTTCTCTAGTTGATAATTATTTTAATTAATACATTGTTGCCTTTTGTCTAGAATGCCTATAACAAGTATAAGCCTGTGTTATGTTGCCATTGTTGTTACTGTTATTATACAACTAACTAACTCCATGGAGCTGAGCCCTTCTTGAGAAACCGCCAGTTGCAGAGCTACTCAAGAACTTCCCAGCATTTTATGGAACCAAAGGCTCATTACCGAGTTCAAAAGAGCCCTACATTGATCCCTGTCCTGAACCACATTGATCCAGTCCATACCACCCCATCCTATCTCTCTAAGATTCATTTTAATATTATCCACCCACCTATGTCTAGGCCTTCCTAGTGGTCTTCTTGATTATGGATATCCCACCAATATCCTATATGCATTCCTCTTCTCTCTCATGCGTTCTACTTGGGCTGTCCACCTTATCCACCTTGATTTGATCATTCTAATTATACTTGGAGAAGGGTACACCTTAATAAGTTGCTAATTATGCAATTTTCTCCAACCTCTTGTCACTTTATTCGACTTCAGCACAAATATTCTCCTCCATTAATGTTATACAGCAGACGAGAAGACAAAAGGTTCTGGATTGAATGGTAGCAAGCATTACCCGAATTCAATCGCCTCTGAATTTTCTCCTGAATCAAATTTTGATTTCTTAATGTCGTTCCCAAATATTTGAACTGTGCCACATTTTCAAAGGATCTATTAGCTGTATTTATGCTACGACTTGGACCTGCATTTTGGTGACGAGACATCAAAATATACTTAGTTTTCTCTGCATTTACTTCTAGACCAAATTCCTTACTGGCGTCAATTAGAGCTTCTATATTTTCCTTTGTGATATTTATGTTATCTCTCAGTAGATATCCTCAGCACAAACCAGCGGCTTATGTGCACCATTTAATTTTAACCCATCCTGGTTTTCCAGGACCTTCCTAATGGCATATTCTAAAGCAGAGTTTAAAAGCAATGGCAATAAAACAACTCCATATTTTAGTGGTTGAGGCACTATGCTACTAGCAGGAAGGTCGCGGGATCGAATCCCGATGAGGTGGATCTTTTCAATTTACCTAATCCTTCCAGCCGCACTATGGCCGTGGGGTCGATTCAGCCTCTAACAGAAATGAGTACCAGGAATATTCTTTGGAGTAAAGGGCGGCCGGCGCGTAAGGCTGACAACCTTACCGCCATCTATGAGACGATTATCTAGAGAAGATGTGGGAACCTCAATATCTCACAATCCTGTGGGCCTCCACAGCCTGTTAGAGGGATACATTTACTTACTTTACTCTGAACAGGAAGAGTATCAGACAAATATTTACTTATACAAACTTTACTATAGGATTAATTTAAACGGAATTTAATGACCCTAATTAGCTTCATGGATATTCCAAACTGTGTGAGAACGTTATAATATGCTTCCCTCCTGATTGAATCATAAGCTTTCTTGAAGTCTTCAAATAGCCGATGTACTGTCTCATTGTACTCCCATTTTTTTCTCCAGTATCTGACGAATACAAAGACCTTCTGTAACATTTCGTAACATAATTATTTTTATGGTGATGAGTTGTTAACCTTACGCCCAACTCCAAAGCTGGAGGATCACCCATTGTCGGCTGTCGCGACTGCTTATTCACTGTATTCGCAGCTACCCTCCACATTTGGATGCCGTCTTCTCCATCAGCAATATGACGCGCCATGCCGTGGTGACAAGGGACCAACACAGGTAGGCCCACAGATGAAATTTTAGGCCAGTGTTGGCCTCTGCAAGCTGTAACCTTCCCAAGAGCGGTTCACTGGACGCCTCTATTTCATGTAGTAGAATTAATGTATATTTCGATATCTGTTCGGCTTCCTTCCTTATCACGTTTCTGTCTGGATGTGTGGCCGATTATGTCTCTGTTTGCTCTCTTGACCAGGCATGAAGTGTTGCAGACCTTTGTGGCTGCTCCTGGTAGTAGGAACGCATCTTCTGGGAGGTCCACGGGGAGCATCGGCCGCTGAAACACCGTGTCCAGGTGTATTCCACTACGAAGGGAACTTCGGCAATGAATATGGCATCATCACTGTGCCCAATCCTTATCCATACCTCGCAATTGACATCACTGTTGCAATGTACATCACTGCTTCAGTGCCATCGGTAATTCACACGTTTTGCCAGTTTAGAGAAAAGAACAGAAAGGCCTCCGTAAAGATAAAACCATTTGCTCTTAAGTTTTAGGGCCTAGTTACACCGTTACAGGAGATGTACAGTACAAACTTGTAATAAGGCGATTAACGGAGATCAAGATTCAGCATACCTGAGTTCACGTAATTAACAGAGATTATGTTTCGGTAGAAGCCATCCAGATTTTAGTTGTCAAAGACTGAAGTACAGTAGCCAGTAACAGGGATAAATTTTCAGTACAAGCTTGCTTGATCTCAATTACCGGGGATCAGAGTTCTAGAGAAAACCTCCCGAATTTATTTTTAGAGATGAGCTACAGTACAGCCATCGTGAGTCAGTACTCAATTACAAGACTGCATTCTGTCATGAAATAGAGCAGGATGTTCGAAAATGGGTTTCCCCGTCGCAGTATGAAAGCAATATATCCGGCTCTCGGTGAACAGTTGGATGTATAACTTAGTTCTTAGCGATGTGACAGAAGAAATATAACACTAATTTAATTGTTTAGGCGGGTTTCTATCGAAGCTCTGTTATAACGATTTTATTTTATTAAGTGAACACATGACGCTACAGAAAAATTCGACATTTTGCCTAGTATGCTGTTCAAACGGTGGAGTTCCGTGGATACAGACCTGTGTGTCCTTGAAACAGGATGATTCTCATCTTCGATCACGCGGCCGCAATGATTAGAAAATGGAAAATCCGTGAAATGAAATTATAACATCAAGAATGGCAGACCACTTCTCCTTCCTCCAACGTGCCAAGTCTGTCTTCGTGAAGTATTAGGCAAAGCACGTAAACACTAAAACAGAAATGTCAGTGCCGGATGAAATCTTAGGACCCGTGGACTGCAGCTAGGAAATGGCTGTACTAATGATATTACATCCGGGAAGCGCTTTTGTCGCTTGTGGGAAATCTCTTCTTGTCACTGAAGTCCTACAATGAGGGGTTTTACACAAAGATACAAATATAATGCTTTATACATCCATACGGGGCACGCGGTAGCATAGTTAGTTGAGGTATTATGCCACAAGCCGGAAGGTCGCAGATTCGAATCACGATTAGGTCATTGGATTTTTCAATTGACCTAATACTTCCAGCCACGTTATGGCCCTGGGGTCGACTCAGCCTCTAACAGAAATCTTCTTGGGGGGTAAATGGCGGACGGCACGTAAGGCTGACAGCTTTACCGTCATCTGTGAGCCGATTGTCTAGAAAATGGGGGAGCCTCTATCTCTCACAACCTTATGGGCCTTCACGGCCTGTTACAGGGAAGCTTTACCTTTTTATTTATACGTCCGTACAAGTACAGAGAGAAACTGTGTTTTATGACTAAATAAAACTTAATTAAATAATTAAGCAACTAATTATAAGCCAGTTGACTTTGCGATACAGACTGTTACTTCGGCACAGTGCGTAATACCCTGTGACATTTGAGGTTCTCATGACGGTGGTTTCAAGATCAGGCCTATGGTTCTCTGAGATGTGACGCCGCGGAATCACCTCATAGAACCCCTGAGATAGAGGCAGTAGGTTCCTCTCAAAACGTTGGTAGTAATCTACCGAACTACTGGGCCCCACATATTAGAAGACCGTAATCCGCATAATTTCTTTTTCTTAGGAAAACCAAAAGCTTATCACTACCAACACAAGAGTCCTGTTATTAGTTAATTAACCAGCTCAATCTAATTCACATATTTATGTAGTCTTCACCTTAATATTTCCTCTCGCTTTCTTTTCCCATGACGTTCGCAAAACAAAATTATGTATTCATTTTCTGTCTCTCCATTTCTGGTACCTATGTAACATCTCTTGATTCGATCATCTTTACAATGCTACGTAAGGAGAACAATTTATGAAGCTGAGAATTTCCATCTTCTGGGATATAATGCCGTGTAGTCTATATTTGAACCAGTGTTTCGGAGGAACGTATCACCTCCATCTTCAAGGCCGAAAATCTGCCAAGCAAGAAACCAGCGAGAGCAGGCGGGATAGCGTAGTCGTTATAGCAACTGGCTACGGGCTGGACGACCGATGAGTCGAAGTTCGAGTCCCGGTAGGGTCAATAATTCTCTCTTCTCCGTGTCGTCCAGATCGGCTCATCGGTCCACCCAACCTCCTATCCAATGGGTACTGGGGGTATATTGGCCGGGGCATGAAGTTGATCACTCACCTCCAGCTATTGTCGAGGTCAAGGAAATGTGGATTATACATTCACTCCCCCATACGCCTTCATGGCATACTGCTTAATTAGTTAAGCATAGGGACAATTTTACCTTTACCTTACCGCTGTGAGAACCTCAGATCCTACAAATTATGAATCTCTTCTTTACGTAACTTTCTCACATCCATTAATATTTGATCTCCCTCAGGTCCTAACATTTCCCTTAAAACTTGTGTTCCCAAAGCTTCAATCCAGTAAGTTTCAATTCTACCAAAAATAAGTAACACTATGGAGTTTAAGTTCCTCGTGAGAAACCAACAATTGCCTAGCCACTGAAGAAATTCCCAGTATTTTCTGTAAATTTAGGTTCATTATCTTCTTCAAAAGATCCCTCCATTAGTCCATATTCTGAGCCAGATCAATCCATTCAAACACCACCCGCTCCATCCCATATCACTAAAATCAACTTTAAAATAACGTTATCCTACCAGCTGGTCTGGGTCTTCCTAGTGGTCTTCTTCAGGTTCTCATACCAGAATTCTGTATTCACCCTTCCTTTTTTCCATGCATGCTGCATGCCTTGCCCTCTGTGTGTGTGTGTGTGTGTGTGTGTATGTGGAGCCCTTCTTAAAAATTTCTGGAAAATTCTGAACATCCGGTCTGACGCCTCGTCTGTGCATGGTCACAAAATTACATGGTATCATGTGGTAGATCAAGACAGTGACTATGCAGGACTCTCGGAGAAACTCAGTTTGAGCCCTCCTATTACGTGCGCTAAGTGTAAAGACTAACGAGCTCACAGTTCAAGAACTTTCAGAGATCAGATGAAGAATAGTAATTGAGTTCCCCGTTTTGTAGACTTATTAAATGCAAACACAGTCAAGGACACGAGTGTGACAAATACGAAACCTGGTTCGCAACAAACCGACATCAGCGTTATTAACAGTACAATAATTCCGTAACCATTTGTTAACTGGTACACTAGAATACAATACAATACAAACTATGCACTTATCTTTTAATTGCTGATTTCACTCGGTGATAAGTTCCATTTACAAATGGTTTCCAACGAAAGGAATTTAGCTGCAGTTCATAAAGTTTTGAGTGATCGGAAACATTCGTTTATATATGAAATAGGCATACTTATGATTCAGCTAGATATTTGTTTGAAACAGCATTAATATTTACTTAAACTGGGCATGTTTTATGCATCAGTCGATGTTTATTACATCATTATAATCCCCACACTCGGAAATAGTCAAAAATGAAACTGAATCCGTTTGCATAAAACCTTTCATTGTAATTTTCTGTAATCTCTTTATGGTTATACATGGTCGTCTGAAGCCCTTTAATAAACTGTGCTCGGGGACAATTAATGCCAACATACCAGTTTTCACCGTGTCTGATAATACGGATGTAAGGGCTGACATTTACGACAGTTTTGCACAGGTCGTATTCTTTATTCTTTGCATACTTAACGACGCTTTCAATTGATCGGATTAAATAGCCTACAGTGACTGGATGATCAGAGAATAATAAATTTTAATGACGTGGAAGGTAGTGACTTTGGCCTATGTGAGATCATATCCTGGTATTTTCCTGGACTAGTCACTGTAGGGGCGTGATTGGAACCCAAGATACTCGAATAATGAGGAGGATTTCTTTCCGCTCGACTGCGACGGTCGGTTACACGAATTAAAATTAGAACTACCCTAAGGCATAAAAACTTTCCTTCGTGACTATTTCTTCAAAGAAGTTCCATAAAACCCTACTTGAGGATTTCCGTCCATGTTGCAGATTGTCATTACATACTACATCCCTCTTATTCACGTGAAGTCTGACCGCCTATCATTCTGCTGCAGGTAGCAGCGGATAACAGTGTTCTGCGAACCGAGCGCCGCTGATAGCAGCCAATAATACTAGGCCAGTATTTCATCGCCGTTGGTTCTGTGACCGTTGGCCTATCAGTGAACAAATACACGGCCATTGGCGTCAATGGCGTTATGGGTTCCAAAAGGGTCCGATGCCAAGAAAAGAGTGACCGCGCTGCCTGGTTGCTGGTAGTAAACTTCTGCTTGTGCTTCTGCATACACTGCATAGGTATCGATAGGTATCATGAGGACATGAAGTAGTGTAGTTGGTTGAGGCACTGTATCCGAAGCCGGAAGGTAGCGGGTTCGATTCCCGATGAGGTCATTGCATTTTTCAATTGACCTAATCCTTCCAGCCGCACTATGGTCCTAGACGTCCTAGACTGCCCTAGGGTCGCCTGAACCCCTACTAGAAAGAGTAGCAGGAATCCTACTGGGGTGTAAATTACGGCCGATACCGCCTTCTGTGCACCGACTAACAAGAAAATGTGGGAGCCTCGACTGCAGGGATATCTACCTCTTTTCTTTTAACCCTAGGTATTAGTGAGCAATGTTGAACTATCTAATTTCGTAGGAGAGTAAAGGTCTATTCACACCATACAAAACATAACCGACAAGAAACGGACCATTAGCGAACTGACAAAATATTCCCCAATATATTTTGACGAGTATGTTCATATCATATGTTGCCGATATGCGCAGAGGTGACAAAATGGATGACAAAAATATATGTTCTTAGTTAGAAACCATGAAATATTACACAATAAGAGCATGTTGATAGTGTGAAGGGGGCTATGTATCTGTCTGCCCCTCCTGGATTTGTTAAAGAAAATAAGAATTTAAGAAAAGAAGGAAATATACCAAATGTTAATAATAAAAATTAAGCGTAATTTTAGAACATTAGTGAAAAGTGTCTGAAATGCCTTAAATGTTAGTTTATCAGCAAAACTTGCCACACACCCCTCAGAAAACTGGCTGCACCCATGAATATAAGCCATAGAAGAGGAAAATACCACTTCCATCTTCAAATGAAAACAAGAATACATGATGTCATTGTCCTATAGACCACAGCCTTAGCCAGACATTATTGTAAGTGTATACATATGAGCGATATGCTGGAATGCATAATTCACTGTGTTTTACCATGAGGTGCTACACCAGCATTGTCCAGCAGGAGCTGAGAATATTCACAAAAGATTTTAGGTTATCAGATTTACTGTCAGAAATGGAATCAGAATACTACAAACAAAATACTAGTCAGATGCCTTATGGTTGATTTCCCTTGTTGATAATGTTGAGTTGTGTAATTGGGGTGGGATACTAGTATATACCACTGCTGACCTGAAAGAACATGGCAACCCTTAATGATTAGATGTTCCAGAAGTGACATGTAGAGCTCACAGCTTATTATTATTTCTACTATTGTGCTTAGTCAAGTCGTCATCACCGCCACCACCACCAACATCATCATCATCATCAGTGGCTTAGCAGCTCAAATTAAGCCCCTTGTTTCCAAGGATATTTCAAACCTTGTCTGTCCATGGTGGCCTTACTTCTCTAACACCCCCTCCTTGGAGGGTATTTTTTTAGATCATCAATCCACCTCACTTTTTGTCTCCTATTAGATATTGTCCAATGGGCCTTGAAATCTGAATTATCTTTGTGCATTTCCTTTTCCTCCATCCTCATCACATGGCCTGCACACCTTAATCTTCCAAGTCATATTACAGTTCAAACTTCTAGTTCTTCCAGAAGTTCATAAAGTTCCTTATCATATCTCAAAATATTTAGCAAAGTAAGTGGAGTAAACCCATCCAGTTTCGTGACTTATTTTATTTCATGGTATAGCAATTTAATATACCACAGAAGTAGGAATGTCTTCTGGAGTTTCAGCAGTTCTCTATAGATGGCTCCAGTATGAAATCATCTATGCAGAAATGATAAAATTATCTGGCTCCACTGTGGGAATATTTAGGGTGAACTGTTGAAACTGTGGATACATACTAAATTTTGTGATGAATGTAGTGTTGCACCACAAAATTTGGTAGGTTTACCCTACTTCATCACTCTGAATCCAGCCAGGTGCAGGATGAAAAAGACACAACTCAAACTGTGGACTAACACTGGGCATGTAGCATGCCTCAGAATCAGAGTTATATGTTTGATTGATTGATTGATTGATTTATTTCGTCACTGTAGATCATTGTACATGATATATGACAAGTCAAGTTAATTCTGAATATTAACAATTTGATATATAAGTAGATTAAAATTACAATAGTTACAATTTTTTTTACTGCTGATTACAATTTAGAATTAGTTAGATATTCTTATTTATGGAGAATTTGATGGAATGAACATTGGCAGGGGAAACCGAAGTACTCGGAGGAAACCTGCCCCAGCGCCATTTTGTCCATCACAAATCCCACTTGCTCAGATCACAGTGGTGGGAAGCCAGCGACTAATTGCTTAAGCTATGTGAAGCACTGTTGGAATAATGACCGATAAAGAAAATCCTAATAATTAGTTCAGAAAATACATATGCTAGTGCTACTGCTGCTGGGATTGAATCCGGGTCTCAGAATTGATAAACCAGAGTGGTATGATCTTGACTGAGGTTTTCATTCAAAGTATTCTTTAGGCTAATTTTTGTGAAAAAAAATCAAAAAATCTGGTTAAAATACACATGTGAATATATGTACATATACACATGTTTGGATTTGAAGTCTCATAGTTTTCATTTGTTCATTACAGGACAGACGTTCTAAACTGGAACTGATAGATAAGAATGCATGGCAGAAGCTGGCAGCAGGTGACAGAAATTCTATTCTTTACCGCCTTGAATTTCCCCTGCAATCGCCACTGCCCACAATCAAGAGCATCACTGTGAATGGAAATATCATCTGTAGAGGTGGAAGGCCAAGTAAATATCACTGCATAATTAACATCTGCTATATATTATTCTGACTCCATGGTACAGCACACCTCTCAACTGAGCACGTGACCTTTCATTAAAAATTGTGCACTGAATGAACTGAGAACCAAGTCCTTGGAGAACCACCTTTCTTGACATTCTAGTAACCACTTAATGAGTCAAGAAATCTAAGAACTAATTCCATGGAGTACAGTCCTTCTTGGTAATCTAGTAGCAGTTCAGTTAGTCAAGAAATCCCCTGCCTTTTATGGAACCCAGAAGTTTATTGGTGCATTCACAAGAATCCACCAGACACTTAGATGCCATATTTGCACCCACACTTTACTTATATCTGATAAGTTTGTAACATGATGGATCATTCTAATGTCAGCTGACTTTATGATTTACCCTGAGCATTCTTGTTGTATGATCCCATTCTTAGGGTCCCTTTTTATTACTAGTACACATATCTGATACACTTATGCCTTGGAATGTTAATAAGATGCTAGCTCACATTATAGCCTCTTGAGAGGGAAGAAATGGACCCCTCTGCCATGGCGTATGTAACAGGGGGTGAAGTCATAATAAGAGGAGTAAATAAAAAAAAAGGTTGCAAATAAGTACAGCACGTTTGTATAAAACGGATGATATTTATTATTAATGCAAGGGAATATCACCCTTTCACCAGACACCATATCACAATGTAAAGCATACTAGTAATTTCACTTTCCACAAATATATATTGATAGAATTTGCAGTCTTCTTACTTAGAACAATGTGGTCAGAATAACGTTGCATATCGCAAAATGGTTTACTCTTTTCCAGCAGTCACTTTCTGAAGCCTACAAGGCCATGTAGTTCCTTCCATTATGCCAATGACTTTGTTTCATAATCACAACCAGCGCTATCCAAAGGATTAAGGAGAATCTACAAATTATTGCAAACAATTTTGATTCTAGGTCTTGGATTTGGCAGTCTTCTTGAGTCCTATGACGTGGTTCAAAACCCATCAAAATTGAGAAATTTATTTAAAGTGTAGCCAAATGTTCTAAGGATTATTATTCTTCACATCTACCTTTTTAGAAAAGGTGGGAAGACAACAAGAAATGAATGGTAGCAAACTTTTTCAAAATTTGAATTTCTCTCTATCTTCTGGGATGTAATTTTGATTCAATGTTGCCACTCTCACATCAGTTTGGTACAATTGTTTAGCCACGCAGGTGAGAAAATCGTTTAAAACAAAAAAGAAAAAAAGAATATTTATGTACTTGAACTTAAATATTCATTAATGTAAGCTTTGTAGTCCACAGAGTCTTTCTCAAAGGGCCAAATTGCCTGACCCTCTTACCCTCCACTTGTTAGCTTGAATCTTAGCTGTCATCTCCTGATAAAATAAAGTCTAACTGGCGGCAAATATACTACACATTATAAATACAGATGCATATTTTTCTCAAAGTAAAGAAATTGTTTAGAAGGACTCACCACCATGGCGGATGCTTAAAATGTCTCCCTTCCGTCTTTAAACAAACTTCAAGTTTCTAGTAAAAGTTGTTTGTCACTAGTTTGAGTTCGCTGACCTTGACAGATATAATTGTTTCTCAGATGTACTTAAGTTTATCCATTGTGTTGGGAGTATTTGAATAGACTTTTGCTTTCTGAGTTTCCCAATAGATAAAAATTACAAGGATTTCAGTCGGGAGACCTTTCAGGCCACATTCTGGAACTCATCAGTCTGCCTTCAAACACCTGATTTAAAATGTTAATGGAATCAATAGCAACGCATTCTGTGGCACCATCTCGCATAAAATAGGCATATCTGCTGCCTTCTTCCATGATGCACTCAGAAAAGGACCTCAGAGTGTTAGTGACATACGCGCCACTCTGAATTAATAATCTGTTCAAAAATATTGGTCCTGCAATCAATGTAGCAGTAATAGCACACCACACACCAGTCTTCTGATTACAAAAGAACATATACATATTTTTTGGTTCCAACAAAATTTCCATTGTTGCATAATTAATTTCTGTGTTGTTCTTATGTAAAACTTTATTCTCTGATTTCCGTGATTTTACAGGTGCTCCATTTCTTACTACACTAACAATTCAGCACGCAATTTATAATGACAAATGCTTTTCAAGCAGTTTGGAATGTCCATATAACATTCAGCAGTCTCCAGGAACATTTCAGCCAAAACCACCATCATTGCCACCACCAATAGGAGACACAGGTAAGTATGAAAAAAGTTTTAAGGCACAGATGAAGATGTGTTAATTTAGCTATTACAAAGAATCGTAAGAGATATGGTTATGTTAACCCTTTGTATCACGAGATTTATCTAAGTAATGTTTAAAAATTTAATTCCTTCCTCCCAGGAATCACACTGCATCTAGATTAAAATGGGCAGTAAGTTAACCCTGAGTGGGAAAATATTCAGTCTTTATTCTGACAGTCATATAGAACTTATGAAACATTCTGTGGACAAAATACAGAACATTTTTATTTAAATGAAGCGGTGTATGTCAGTTAAGGAATCCCTTTGAATTGTTAAAATTTGAGCTGGATCCTTTGTTGGAAGCAACAAGGTGGGTACAGGAAGATAGTGTAGTAGCATTCTATGAAGTAATAGTGAACTACAGTAAACTGATGTCAAGGCCATGAGAGATTATGGCAAATATCTGCTTCAAAATGTGATAGACATTGCAGTATATGTGGTTTATATTTGTATGATGGCCATTAGAATAGAAACACCAAGTTTTCATCATTACATAGATTTTCTTCATGAATCTGGTTAAGAACAGCTGAGTGTTCAGAAGGACAAGGTGTTAACATCATATGTGGAAAGCCTGTGTATACTCCTGCATGGATTTCACATTTCATATTTTGTGTGTTTCAAAGTTGTGTGGCCAAACTTTAGGAGACTGGGGAGGTAATTTGGAGCAGAAAATGTAAAAAAAAAATGTAAAAAGGATTTTGAGGAAGACTGTAATCTGTATCAAGATATTGTCTCAGAGTGACTAATTTCAAGCTGTTACCGTGGTATCAGTTTAAAGAGACTGATAAAAATAACAAAAAACCTCATTCATAATAGGCAGCACAATGAGATTTGAATGAAATACCTTTTCAGTAACTTACAATTACTATTATTATTGCTGCTATTACTACTACTACTATTTGAATTCCATAGTTAAATTATTAAAACTTAATTCAGTACTTAATATATTGGGTTTTCGGACTTTATCCATCGTCCTGGTATTTAAGATAACTAATAAAAACACGACGTTTCGGAAACTGGATCTGTTCCCGTCCTCAGGTGAAGGAAAACACCTATTCTGTTGGGTCCGTTAGAAAGAGCTAGCCTCAATCACTCAATCATCCAGTGATTGAGGCTAGCTCTTTCTAACAGACCCAACAGAATAGGTGTTTTCCTTCACCTGAGGACGGGAACAGATCCAGTTTCCGAAACGTCGTGTTTTTATTAGTTATCTTAAAAACCAGGACAATGGATAAAGTCTGAAAACCCAATATATCAGTGTGTTATACACCATCGTCAGAATCCTATAGTAACTACTTAATTCAGTACTTCTTTTGCACTGTAGAGCCTTCTATTCACTACAGATTTATGTTCACTGCTATTTGTAGGTAATCTAAACCCGGCTAAAAACTTCACCTTTACTTCTGCTCAATGTTCATTTACTGTGACTTCTTTGTTTATTTTTAATCTTAAGTATGTGGAATCCAGTTTAGAGATGCTATTAACACTGTTAATGTATGTTCTTTTCTTTTAGTATTGAACACACCTGAAGATTCATCCTCATTTGCATCACCTTGCCCTCAAGTATTTAGATATGAACTTGACAGATATGGAGACTGGTATGGACTCATCAGTGTTCCCAACCCTTATCCTGTGGTTGCAATTGATATCAGAGTGGAGCTGTACATCACTGCAGTATCATTGGTAAATTACACAGATTTTAGCTTGTCATTTTGAGTTTCATGAAAGATGGACAATTTCTTGAATAGCTTATCAATTGTTATCCTCTAAAGAAGGTTTATTTTCCATTGTGTTTGTCTGTTGGTATGTACCGTATCAGGTGAAAGCTAATGTGATATATTATTGAATTTCATCCATTATAGTCGCCCTTAAGTAATACTATATCTTCTGTCATATCAGTGCCTAATTTATGTATAATTCTATAATCACACATCTACAGCTTTGGATTTCGTCAAGAGGCTAACAGTGTCTTGAAAATAAAAAATATATATGTATTTATTTTAATTATATTATTTTAAATCCCTTACTTGCCCTTGTGTTCTGTTACTTTAACTTGAAACATGATAAAGAAATCAAAGGTGACAACAGACAAAAGTAACCTAAAAGTAATTACATTATTAATTTCATTACTAGATTCTGTTGCATATTCAGCAATGATCAAACACAAATTTAAACCTTATTACAGCTGTTTTTTCCTATTAAAATAATATGTATTGTTATAGAACTAATCAAGTTAGATATAACTTCAAGTTCTAGGAGGTTTGAATCTTACCCTGTGTACTGCTGAATGATCATTATAAGTTAGTTTACAATCAGAGATCTGCTTGTTCATTAAGTTGTTAGTAAGAATGTTGTATCAACTACTATATTTAGATTCTGTAAGCATTATTGGTGACAATCAGTGTAGGATGTATATTTGGTAGGGATTTTTAGATACTACAAAGTATATTCATGTCTCTTATATACTGTGGGATCGATAAAACTTGCTGTGGGAACATCCCACATACTAACACACGGTTTCACTGGTCTAACAGACAGCACTCACTCCTAGTCAATATGACACTGCCGCACGTTGCTGCCACCACTCGTATTTATATAGCACTCAATGTCCAGCCCACCTGTAGATCATCACATGCGCTAGCCAATCAGTGCTCTCAATTGCAACTGCAAGCTTAAGCTCCATCCAGCAAGCATGGTATAAAAGCGGAGCCCAAAGCTTGCAATTATCAGTGATCACATTCAGTTCAGAGCAATCAGTCATCAGAGTCATCGGCCAAAGACAGCTGCCGCAACTCTCCAGCAACCGCGTTCTGCTATCAGACAACTAACGTAGCTGCCACAGCTCTCCAGCAACCGCACTTTGTCACTAGACAGCTAACGTAGCTGCCGCAACTCTCCAGCAGCCGCGCTCTGCGACCAGGCAGCTAACCGCAACTCTCCAGCAACCTCGCTCTGTGACCAGGCAGCTAACTTAGTTACCGCAACTCTCCAACAACCGCGCTTTAGGCACCTGTTCCTATAGGCACACACAACACCACATTACCGGCCAGACAAACAAGCTGAACAATCGTAAAGACTTGGTCTACTACAAAGGAGAAAATTCTACCAGCTCAATCACGGTGGAACAGACTGCCCTTTTCAGGGCCAGTCAACTTTTGACATTCCACATAGCTTTGCAGATATTCTGTACATTCAATTTATACAAATTAATGTATACAACTGTTGCAGATTTACGTGGTTGTCTTTTAGAACATTGACAATCCCACATTGCATTTGAAAAGAATGAGGAGGAAAGAAAGAGAATAAATAGAACCTATTGTAGTGTAGCTACAGCAATAAGAATCCCACATGGGCTGATCTTGCTGGGGCTTCATACAGAATCACAAATTAACTTATGTTTCCTCTTTGTTGCATAGACAAATAATTATAGATTTTCGGTAGCCACATAATTATGAATGGTATTTTTTATTGAGAATGAAATTCTGTCACAATATCATCCCTTTCTCAAGTTCCAAGGAGCTCTGAGAAATCTGGTAGCATTTAAAAATTCCATGCCTGAACCATTCATAATTTTGTTTCAGTTCTCATTTTTACTATATTTAGGTAAGAATCTTCCTCCTAGTTATTTAATTATAACAAATTCAGAGATACTGAAATAACAAAAATTAAGTACTGTAGATGAAATTTCTAATTCATAACCTCCTGATTATGTAATGTGTTTACTGTTGATAACCTCTATCAACAATGTAATTTTAGCTACAATAAATCAGCATTATTGCCAATGAAGATGTAAAATTGCAAGTATGACATTTGGAAATGCTTTGTGCTCAAGATTAGAATACACCTCTCCAGTCTTCTTTGAAAAGGTTTGGAGTTTGGAAAAAGTTCAATTCCCCATTGTTTTCCTTCAGTGAGTATTGCATTACTTATAATAACTGAAACAGCTAATACTTACACATAAATATTTATTCCAGAGCACAAAAGGACGTCTTGATCTTGTAAATAGTCTGAATGAAGAATGGGAGAGGATGAGAACTGGTGAACAGTATTTCATTCTCTATAGATTAAACTTTCCTGTGAAATCACCCTTGCCTACAATTAAGAGCATCACTGTAAACAATCAGGTCATATGCAGAGGCAACAAACCAAGTAAGTTCACAGAGTTTGTTCATACTCACTACTCAACAATATATATGTTACTAATACATGGAGGCAGCATAGCAAATGGGGAGACCCTGCATGAAATATATTAATGAGAGCTTGATGGGAAAGTTTCATGAAAATCATTTGAAGTGCTATCAATTTCTATAATTTTGACAATATTAAAAACTCTGGCTCAATTATGCAATTACCCTATCCCTAAAAGTAGGTGGATTTTCAGCTCCAAAGCATAATGCCACAAAATTAGTGACAGGTTTGTAGAAGAGGCTGTCTACTATGACGAAAATATTAGGCTAGTGAGTAGCTGAGAATACAGCTACCCTATAAAATATAGTTTTCTCACAAAACTTTCTTCACTTTTGTGGCTTATCAGAGTTAGGGTGTAGAGCTTAATTTGCATGGATGGGGCAATTACATAGTTGAATCACTGCTTTTAAAATCATTAGAATTTAAAAAATGAGATCACTCAACATGGCTTACATACAAGTATAACTTCCCCCTTAAGAGGTCATCCTAATGAAGTTTGCCTGCAGTATAACCATTTGTTGTGCCAGTCACTTTAGCCGAGCGGTCTAAGGCGTGCACTGTCTTCGCTCGCTCGGAAGCCGGGATCGTGGGTTTGAATCCCACTCAGGGCATGGATGTTTTTGTGCGTTTTTCTGTGTTTGTCTACAGGTAGAGGCCTTGCGATGAGCTGATCACTCGCCCAAGGAGTCCTACCATGTGTGTATGATCTGGTAAACCGAAGTGAAACGGAGAGTTTCATGGAGGTAAGCCTAGGCCCAAATTGGGGCTGTAGTGCCACAGGAAAAAAAAAAAGAAAAAATTAACATTTGTTACAGTACTCTTGTTTATGTGTATTGTGAATACCATTATCATATCTGAACTCTGTACATCTTTACATATGTAACTCTTTCTGGTATCTCTGTTACAGGTTCTCTTCCACTTACTGCTCTCTCTTTTCAGCATAGTCTGTTCAATCAGAAATGTACTTCAAGTAGTCTGGATTGCCCCTATAACACTGAAAATGGTCAGCCAATTAGACCAAGACCTCCAGTTAATATGCCAGTGCCAGTGGAAGAACCATCAACAACACAAAGGCCTCCACCTCCACCGACATATAAACCTCCACCTCCACCCACACGCACACCTCCACCTCCACCACCACCACCACCTCCACCAACACGCACACCTCCAGTAGAGGAAACAAGTAAGTTCATCATTTTATAAGAATTACATTCATTTGAACTTTTAACTGAGTTCACAGAATAAATGAGAAAAATTACATATGTATAGCTTTGCCTGATATCCAAGTGATTAAAACAAGTCTGAGAGACACTAGACATGTAGCATAATTTGAGAACCAGGGAATACATTAAAAATTTAAGTTGTTAAACCTTATGGAAAATGAGTACCTTGAAGATATAAGACAGTTGGAACTATAATATTGTTACTAGACACAGGGTTTGAATTGTTAATCAGATTTATTAAAAATTTACCACTTGTAACTACAAATAATTATGATGCTGTCACTGATATACACACTTTACAAATCACTATAGCACATGTTAGGTCTCAGTCTATTACAGTCTTCACTTGTCATTACTAAGTAGCAGCTCCCTTGAATGGATATTCCAGTGCTTCTGTGCTTATGTCCTTATTGGCTAGTGACTGTCTCACAACTCAATCTGACTCTCAGCTCCCAACCCATGATCAGTCAATTGGTCAGTTTGTCAGTTAAATTGCTGCTGCTTTTCACCAGCACAGTCATTCCTGGCTTCTGTGTCATCGAGATCCATGACAAAGATTTTTATTCTCTCCTAGAATCATACATGCTTCGAAATGGGGCCTCCTCTTTGAAGAAGGAGGGGTCGGTCTTTCTATGTAATCGCTACATTTGTTGCACTGTAAATCACACATATATCAGTGCTGTCATGGCATCCAAGTCGCTATGGATTCTGTGCTTCTTTTGTCACTTCACTATATTAAGCAACATCTGTAAAAGGTATACAGAGGTTTCCTGTCAGTGAAGGCTTGTGCAGCAGTTATACCTTAACTTATGTACTTACTCTGAAACTGCAGTTAGTCAGCTGAACGGCCATAGGCCTAACCGCCGACAAGTTCAAGCCCCTTATACTTCCTATGCCCGGCTTCTTCTCGCCCAATACCACGTACATTTTGGATGTATGTGATTTAGGATTACTTCTGCCTGCATCCTGTATAATTTAGTTATATATTTATAAATGTAAGGAATTTGGAAAGCCACACGCACTCCATGGACTGTATACGCCCGTCAAGATTTCCAATAGTGCAGGGTGCTCTGTTCTGCAGACACTGCAATTTCAAGGGGTGAGCATCTGCCACACATTCCCAGGTGGGAGAGACATAAGCCATAACTGACCTAATCAGAGCTTTGTAAAACGTAAATTTAATATTTGTACTTAAATGACAACTTTTGAATAGAGAATAGGTTCTTCTGTGTGTGAGCAAGGCCTTGGCTACAGTCCTTTTGTTATGGTGTCTCCATGTCATTCTCCTGTCAAAAATGATACCAAGATTCATTACATTATTTACGAAGGGAATATTTTGTCCCTTTAATTGTTTGCCTGAGTTTTCCCTTCATTGATCTTTATGTTCCAGTGCTCACACCACGAATTCACCGCATTGAGTCTACGTTGCAGTTTGCAGAGAATATGACGTTCATGTTTCTCTGTCACATAAATACAGGTATCGTCCGTGAACAGAGCAAGATGAGTTCCAGGTGCCACGGGGGCATTGTTTGAATACAGGCTGTACAATACTGGGGCAAGAGTGGAACCTTGAGGATCCCCTGCCGCTATTTTTCTTGGCATAGAAAATTCGCCTTCTACCAAGACTTTAAATTTTGCCAGTGAGAAAAGAAATCACCTTAATGAGACTTGTTGAAAATTCTAATTCTGAAAATTTATATAATAGGCTAGAGTGCCATGTTGTGTTGAAGGCTTTTGATATCCAAGAACACAGCCGCCGTCGAAATATTGTTGAAACTTAGGGTGACGTGATTCACCATCCTCATGCACTGAAGCATCATACAGTGATATACTCAAAAGGCAAACTGACCTGCATTTAATAAGTTTCTTTCCACATTGTGTTTTTGGGCTGCTCTTATAATCAGCTTCTCAGAGTTTGCCTGTAGTGGACAAGAAGGTGATTGGACATCTATTTTGAAGAAACTTTGGATCTTTGCTGGGTTTTTGCAGACTTGCGAATTTTGCCTCCTTCCAATATGTCAGGAAGTGGCAAAACCAAAGGCATTGATTGAATACATGTGTTAAATACACAAGAGGTCTTCTTGGAAGATGCTGGAGACATTCATTTTGAATTCCATGAAAATCACGGCCTTTCCTGGTTTCAAGGATTGTATTTCTTTCGAGACACCACAGGGTTGGAAATTAACAAGGATGTCTTTATCAATGGTGGCCAGCAGGGCTTCTCCTTCAGCTTCCACAAGTCGTCTATGGTCACAGTCACACAAGCCATGTGCTCTGAAATGGTTTTCTAAGCAGTCTGCTGTCATGTTCCCATGACTCAAGATTAGTCCTTGCGTAGAAAACACAGCTTCCAAGAATTCCTCCATTGTTGCATGACATGTTAAGTTGGCTGCTGTCTTGCAATTGTCCAGTTATTGTTGACGTGAAAGCGTGTTTTGGTTGCTGTGAGAACGTATTCACCGGCCGTTGCCTATCAATGGACGACTTTCCTTGATATACTATTCTTTAGTCTGCATTTGTTTCTGCATTTAGCACAGCTAGTAGAACATCTGAAAATTTAATGGAAAATTTTAAAAACTCCCTTCTATAACGTTGGTTTCCACAGATAACCCTTTGATTGATGATGAAATCTCATATTAGGCCTATATATTCCTTGAGGAACACTTCAAGATCAAAATTTCATTGAATATGTGTGCTCTGAACCTGGAAAGTTCTGGAAAGACATGATAGAATAAGCAGTGCAGCTATCTACCAGTATTCTAGAAATATCTGTTTTTGGCAGAGTTTAGAACTATAATACTGACTAGAACATACATTCCACTGCCATTTATTCCCGTCGTCTTCTGATCCTGACATACCTGACCAAGATTAATCCTGTATTTACTTTCCATGTAAACAACATAATGACACTGCAAACACTGACCTGCTTAGGTTAATTATTCAGTACTGGAGCAAAGAAATATTGTGTACAAAGTTCAGCTTCACAAGTCTAAATGTTCCCATTTTCCTCAGACACAATAAGTGAACTATTTTTACTGGTTGTAACAGGTGTGAACACAAATACCAAATGTGGCTTTCCAGTAGTGAGAACTAATGCCCTCATCTTTTATGGACAAGACACAGCACATGGTCAGTGGCCCTGGCATGCAGCTATATATCAACAAAAGGGTTATGACATGGTATACAACTGTGGTGGATCTTTTGCTGGTACCAAGACCATTATCACAGGTAATTTTTTTTAATTCGCATAGTGGGGGGTGGAGTCCAGCTGGGTCCACTCGGCACATCGACCACTGATTGGCCTATTGTACCTACCCCGGGTGATTATGATTATGGAGAATTTGGTGGAATGAAAATTGGCAGGGGAAACCGAAGTGCTCGGGGAAAACCTGCCTCAGCGTCACTTTGTCCACCATAAATCCCACTTGACCAGACCCGGGCTCGGACCCAGGCTGCTGCAGTGGGAAGCCAGTGACTATCCGGTTGAGCTCTGGTGCGGCCTTATCACAGGTAAGTCATTTTATCATTTTTGTGCTTCACATTTGAAACAGTTTGACGGTAGTTTCCAAACAAAGAAGCAGTCCATAGACGTACAAGTGTGTGTGTGTCTCACAACTATGCAGGAATCATCAGTAAAATATTGCCAACTTTGAAAGATGTTAAAGGTAATAATGAGATTGATTTTTTATTGGAAAACACAAAGTTATCTTTATATTCAAATTAAAATACAGTAGTTTCCTACTGACCCAAATATATCTATGCCTTTCTTTACAGCTGCCCATTGTGTCACCAAGGATGGGAAGATACTGGCTCCACGTGATTTTACTGTTTACTTAGGAAGATACGACCTCAGAAATCGCAAGGAAGAAAGTTCGCAGGAATTTGATGTATGTTTGCTTTTAATATTGCATACTTTACTACCCATTCATTATTACTTCCTATATTACAGTTTCTTTAATTACTCTAAACCCTTTCATTTAAGTGTTATTTAGAAATATGCCAGTTTAATACTGATACAGTAATACGTAAAACACCAGTGAGATTCCCATTCTTTGCCAATGGCATCCCTACAAATACTTGAGCCATAACCTCTATTCAGTATCTTTTTCATGATATTGTGACATGTAGACCCATTGCTAGGGAACGACTCATTAAACAAGCCCAGGACAAATGTGCAGCCAACAGTGGAGCAGACCCATTTCTAGGCAATGCCTGCAATACACACATATAACAATAGAACCAGTGTCACGAGAGGTGTTCTCTGTGTGGTTTCGCATATGTCAATTGCTAGGCAATGGATGTGTTTTCTGTGCTATGGCTCAATGCAAGGCTGTATAATGAGAAGCCAAAAATAATTGACAATTCTTTCCTTAAAACCCTTGTGGAGGCAGAGTCAGATACCTCCACTGTGACCCTGAGAGTTGTAGAAGGCGACGAAAAGGGAAGTCTCAAATCTGAGGCAGTAAAATATGGTTGTGAGTCCCAAGGGACTCGCAACAGCAGTATATATAAAATACAGACCCATCCTCTTGTCAGAGAAGGCCCCCGACAAAAGCAAAATCATAACTGTCAAACAGTAATAAATATCTGGTCATGAGCCAGAGATTGGGCTCTACACCACAATTTGCTGACCGTCAGTCACAAGGTGACCTTGACTTTGAATTGACAGTTCAGTTGGAAGTCAGAAGAGTTCCTGTGGACTGTTTAGTCAGAAGAAAATTCCAGTGCTACAGGTAGTGATTTGTGAACTGTTTTAACCAGTTGTATAAAGGTCCAAAATATTTGATCATCAAATCCAAAAACCAATTTTATTAGATATGCAAACCCCAGATACGTGACAGTATTAATAAAAAGATTACTTAGAGGTATATTCTCTACTCATTATGAGACACTTCTGAGACAGCGGTTAGATGGGCATGAGATTGGTGTGAGATGATTGCAAGCCTGCGAGGATGTGAGCCCAGGAGCAAAGGAACATCCACTGTTGGAAGATGTTATCAAGCACAACAGTGAAGACCATGACTGAGAATAATAGTTTTTGTGTGATAGTGATTTGTAAAGTAGAGTCATGAGTTCTTTAAGATCCCAGTAGATCCAATTACCACTCCAAACTCAATCTGTAGTCACTCAAACGCATGACAGTATTAACACACATATTAAAATACTTGTACATAACCAAGAAAATCTGAGTACAGGATCAACATCATCATAATCAATAAACGGTGCATATTTTTGTCTGTATTTCAGGTATCTAGGATATTTGTTAATCCTTTTTTCAATAGTAGCAACTTCCAAGCAGATGTAGCCATGCTGGTCCTAGCTACTACTGTACTGTACACAACAAATGTAAGACCTGTATGTCTTTGGAATCAGAGAGATATCAGCCTGGAAAGTATAGTTGGAAAGGAAGGTGTGGTAAGATCCAGTCTCCAGATAACATATGTTTTCTTGGAATGTATAAAGGTTATAATAACCAATATACTGCAAACCATAGTGTTTTAATCTTTCTGTTGCTAAATAAGATACACATTATATACTTCTTCACTGCTGATGAGATGAAACACTTGTTCACCCAATATCCTGGGAATGTTTTGCAAGGAAAAGGCAACAGAAGTATTGAAAAAATTACTGGTATATAATGAACAGCTTCATAATTTGTATTCTTCACCAGATATTAGTAGGATAATTAATTAAATCAGGAAACACCTAGCATTCGTACATGGGGGAACTTAGAAATACATTCAAAATTTCAGCCAGAAAACTGTATCTATGCTTAAAATTAAATAAAAGTCAAATATTCAAATATATTTTCTTTGTATTATTATATTTATATTATATATATTTATATGATGTGAAGGAGTGGATGATATTTATCTGCTTCAGGATCAGGACCAGTCATGGATTCTTGTGAACACTGTAATAAATTTATGCCCTCCATAGAAGGTAAAGAATTTCTTGACAGCTTCTCAAGGAAATCCCTGATTCATTGAGTTAGCTAAAATGTTATAAAGAAGCCAAGTTAAGAATTGCTTGTAAAAATGGTATTTCCTGATTCTAATTAAAATAAAAATTTGTGTTGGCTCAATGTAAACATGCTTGGTTTGTATTCAAGCTGTATGTAATTCTTATTCTAGGTGGCCAACAGATTATTCTCATTGATAACTTCTGTGATTTTTCTCAATTCTTCCTGTGGATTTTTAGGATAATATCTTGCTACAGGCCATACCACTGCTTCACCTTATAATCATTCTTATACATCAACAGTAAACAGTTTCTGTGGTTTATATAGCATCATTAAATAACCTATGAAACAACAACTGCGCTAGTATTTAATATAATAATATCTCATAAGAACTCCATGGTTTGAGTCTACAAGTGAACTTTACCAACTGAGCGACCGTCACTTGTCAATGAAGTTAGTACACTTCATTCAGTGAAATAATTTACATAATTTGTGACAAACTAATTATCTACAGAACAAGGAAACATTATTGCTAAAATTATAAAAACAAAAGTGATAAAAGAATCAACATTTCCATAAATCTGTGGAACAAGTTATAATGGCATTCATTAATTCTTTTGTTTACTTTTGAACAACAGGTAGCTGGTTGGGGCTTAGATGAGAATGGCAATACTGCGCAAAAGTTAAAAATGGTGAAAATGCCAGTTGTGACCCAGGAAACTTGCCTCTGGAGTCATAGCACCTTCTTCTCACAGTTCACTTCTAATACAACTTTCTGTGCAGGATATCGAAATGGTATGTTCAGTTTCTGATTGTAATTATGATAAGGGCTAGCAGTTGAGTGTATACAGCAATCCCTTGCTAATTGCAGTTTTATCAGTAGCAGATTTGAACCTCCCACAGTTTTTCACTTTTATCCTGTTTTGCTAACTATGGCATTGGTTTTCATTTATGTATACATGGATGTAATTGATGGCTTCTACTTTAGGAGGTCCACATTTGTTGAAATCAAGACTGTAAGAAGATCCAAAACAAGTTTTGTTGCTTCTTAATAACCACTGCATAATTATGCTTTTTAATGACTAAATTTGCATTTTGTATCTAATTTATTAGTCAGTATGTACAATAGTATTTTATATTTGTAGTAAGGGAACACCATAAAGAAAAAACACACAAACTTTAATTGACGTAAAGAAGTAGACAGAAGTAAACAGAGAAAAAACTAAGTATATGTTGCTGTCTCGTCGCCAAAATGCAGTTCAAAATCATGACATAAAGATAGCAAACAGGTGTTTTGAAAATGTGGCACAGTTCAGATATTTTGGAACAATGATAACAGATCAAAACCTGATTCAGGAGGAAATTAAGAGGTCATTGAACTGGGGTAATGCTTGCTACCATTCAGTCAAGAACCTTTTGCCTTCATGTCTGCTGTCCAAAAACATAAAAATTAGAATATACAAAACTATAATTTTGCCTATGGTTCTATATGTGTGTGAAACTTGATCTCTGACATTAAGGGAGGAACATAGACAAGGGTGTTTGAGAACAGGGTGTTCAGGAGAATATTTGGACTGATGAGAGATGAAGTGACAGGAGGTTGGAGAAAACTGCACAATGAGGAGCTTCATAACTTGTACTCTTCTCCAAGTATAATTATAATGATCAAATCAAGGAGGATGATGTGGGCAGGGAATGTAGCACGAATTGGGAGATGAGAAATGCATCTAGGATATTGGTGGGAAAGCCAGAAGGAAAGAGACCACTGGGAAGACCAAGGCGTAGGTGGGTGGACAATATTAAAATGGATCTTAGAGAGATAGGATGGGATGGTGTGGATTGGATTGATCTGGCTCAGGATAGGTACCAGTGGAGGGCTCTTGTGAACACGTTAATGAACCTTCGGGTTCTATAAAATGCTGGGAAATTCTTGAGTAGCTGTAGAATTGGTGGCTCCTCCAGAAGGGCTCAGCTCCATGAGTAAGTAAGTAAAGGAACAGTGACTTAATCTTTGATCAGTGTGGAAATGGTTCCCCTAACTCTCAGTTTTCCACAAGTCCTTGGACTTGCCAGCTGCAGTGTTTTACATGATTTATGAGAAGTTGGTGTATTCCACACTGACATACCCAAGTTGTGTGGAATGGAATCCAAAACCAATCTGAATAATCTAGTGTGAAATTGAAATCATGTAATTAGTCAGCGCTCAATCCATTTGAGTGCAAAAACATCAGCATCTCAAGTTAAATCATTTTCTCCTTCATAACTACAGAAATAATTATTGAACAGTTTTATGCATTCTTTTTATCAAGTGTATAAACTCGATGTATAATGATGAGGTCATATCTGTCTATCTATCCACCATTCATGTGTTTCATGTTTACAATTACTGGACAGCTTCTGCTGAAATTATGTGCATGATCTCTGCAAGAAAATTATCTAACAAATTTAAGTTTTGTTCAGTATTACCTCTGCTTTGAATCAAGATCAGGTCAAACTTAATTACTTATTACTGACTGCTGTGCCAATTCAACCACAGTTTGGAGAACACACATTTTTCAAGTGCAATCTATGTAATGTTAAGAAAGCAGTCTTCTGGGATTTGGCACCGTGTAAATGTGGTGTTAACCGACGTTTCAGAGGAACGTATCGCCTCCATCTTCNTATTTGGTAGAAATAATCAGTAATAAGAATATTACTCTGTCACGTATTAGTGTCTAGACACAGGGTTTGGATTGATAACTGTATTTATTGAACATTTACTACATAACTACAAGTAACTGTAACACTGTCATTAATCCACATACACGTATTTTACGATTTACACTGATTCTTCTGAGTTCATCTTCTTTGGTCATTGCTAGGTAATGGCTCAGCCTCCATGTTCATTGGCTCCTGACCTCATTGGCTGGAGACTGTCTAACACCTAAGCCATTGATCTAAATCCCTCACATTCTCGACTGACTGAAGAGAGTCAGTGAGTCAGAGTCAGAGTTACTTTATGACTGGCAGTTTACCGCCAATCAGTTTGCCTTGGCTCCAAGCCCCTGAAGACTCACAACCAGTGATTTTTTAAACTGAACCCTTGTGGCCATAGCCATTATGTAACATCCTCTCTGTCAAGAGGATGGATCTGTCATTTAAAATTCCTGCTGGCCTTCGACAGTGCAGTCATTCTCAGGTCCAGGTCCCATGAGACTCATGACCATATTTTTACTGTCTCAGATTTGAGACTCCCTCAGCCTGGAAGGCCAGATCCCCATATTTATATCCCCCAGGAATAGGGTGGCCCAGTTATACCTTTTTGTGGCCTTCTGGGACTCACAAGGCTACAGTGGAAGTATCTGAACTCACCTCCACATGGGCTACTGATTGAAAACTCCGGCTGATTCTCCTTATATAGCCTTGGCAAAGACCACATAGGAAATACCACTTCCAAATTTCCTGTCACATCACTTGTTCATTGTCACAGAAGAATAATTATTGAGCCATTGTCTCACAACAAGTTAGGTATTATTATATGTTTACCCAACCGTTGCCCAGCAATGGATTTCTTTTCTGAGTCTGTTATTCCGTCTTTCAACCATCATGTCACAATATCAATACGCTGTATAAGTACTATGTTGGACAGTATCAATCATCATAGGTATATTTCAAATACGCGATATTTCAGAACGTGGGCCTGTTTTCATCTTCATGTTTAAATGGGCCTACAGATCGTATTAAGTTGTAGAATCCTGTCCCTACTTACACACTATGACAGAAGCAGATCCAGCTTCTGAAATATAGTGTATCTTAAATATATTGTTGTATGAGCGAGGGGAAGTGAGAGCATTTCACACAAGTTCTTTTAGGTAACACCGCCGTATGTAAGACAGTGAACAATGTCCAACATAATATTTGTGTCATGAATAGACCATTGTCACTAATCTTTAGAGGATCACATGATTATTAGATGGTATAGATTTATACATTAACTAGAATTTATATTCCATTAAACATACATCACACTGGAAAACAGTCAAATAATTAGTTGATATGTTCAAAAGATTATGTAATATAATTGGTTTTGTATGTTAATGTAAGAAAGTTTGATCTGAACTTCATTGGTAATAAAGGTTGCATCTACATGGATTAATGCTATGGATTAATATTTTGGGGGATCTCTTCACATAGTTTAATTTTTAAAATACAAAAGAATATAATAAGAATCATTACAGGATGTAGAATTAGAGATTCATGTAGAGAATTATTTAAGAAATTAAAAATTCTACCGCTTCAATCGCAATACATATTATCGCTTCTCCTATTTGTTGTTTACAACTAAGATAAATTTAAATTAAATTCTGATGTCTATAACATGAATACTAGACAAAAATATAACTTCCACCTACCCTCATCAACTTTATCAGTATATCAAAAAGGAGTCTACTTTACTGGCATAAAAGTGTTCAACAATCTGCCACAAAGTATTAAAAACTTGGGCAATGATACTAAAAAGTTTAAATCAGAGTTAAAGAATTATCTACATGCTCATTCCTTCTACTCTTTAGATGAATACTTCAATGTAAATAGAGAATGATGTAAAATTAAGTTATATTAATTTTTAAGCTAAAATTGCCTGTACTTATGTATGTAACCTTTTGACATGTTCTGTATCCAAAGGTACTAACCTGCTTAGGATTTATAGAATATAAATAAATTCAATTCAATTCAATACATTGATATGGACTAAAAAAAACTTATTCTGTAACACCAAATAAAAATTTCAACAAAAGACATTCAAAAATTTTTTTGTGGACTGACACACCTTCGCATTATGCATTTCACTGGAAGGATGAATAAAAATTGATTCATATATGGCATTTTCAACATGACTAATATATTGTATTTGTTGTTATTTAAAACTTATGTTGCAAAAAGCTTCCCAAAATAAAAGTGCAAACTTCTTCAAGATGCGACAAAGCAAGAACTTAAGTGCTCTCTACTGGGAAGCAAAATGGGTTAAATGATCCCAAATGCAGCCATTGGAAACCAACCAACCAACCAACCACCCCACCATTTACAGATATATTCAGCACCCAACTAAAGCTGATATTTGAAACTGTTTACAGGGAGCAGTGTATGCAATGGTGACAGTGGCAGTGGGATGGTGTTCCCAGAGGTTCAGAGAGATGGCACTCAGATCTGGAAGCTTCGTGGCATTGTCTCGAACAGCAGGCCAAATGATGACAATAAGAAAGTTTGTGATACGACCAATTACATTGTCTTCACAGACATTGCACAGTATCTAGAGTGGATCAATTCACTTCTCATTTAATTACAGTTCATGCCAATATCTTGAAAAAAAACAGGAATACAGAAAATCCTCATTTCTGCCAATCACCGTTTTCATTATGAACTGTATTTTCCTGACTGCAGGTGGAACCTTACCCACTCTTCCTTCTGACCACTGTCCTTTTACCAGGAATAAACTCTTGCTTCCACCTCATGGGTTTGGTGAAACAAACCCCCATATGTACATGAACACTTGCTCACCCTACTTACATCAGATGTCTCACCACTCCCAGAGTTGTGAGGCAGTAAATTATGGTCATGAGTCCTGCAGGACTTGGATCCAAGAATGAATGTGCTCGCAAGTACCAGCAGAAATTTACCTGAAAAAGAATAGCCAACAGTGCAAGAACATAGCACATACATAGGAAGAGTGGCTCCTCTATATCTCCAAGAGGGGGCCCCACCTCTAAATATGTACATGTCTAGGAGAGAGCAAAAATCTTGGTCATAGATCTCGATGAGACCTGAAGTCAAGAATGACTGACTGACTCTGCATAATTCAAACCTGAAGCTGAAGGCAGCATATGCCAGCGGGATGTTAGCAGCACTATCCACATCCACACAACTCGAAAACCAGGAGAAGTTTATTGTCATAGAATGGTGACCAGTGAACATTAATATTCTAGCTGCAAGAAATAGGAACCCTTCAGATGAGGCCCCCCCCCAACAAAATTACAGTTTTCTTGAAAACAGCTCAAACAATTGTGATTAATTTTTAGTAACAAGTGGAGTCTATCCTCCTATATAGGATTGCATGAGTGATATCTTTATATATCGAATAGATATAAAGTGTAACTTCTGTATCAGTTTTCTATCTCTTTCCTGCCACAGACTTAATAGAGTGCATAAAAGAAATTCTTAAATATGTTCCATATTCTTGCAGTATGTACAGTAGCCATGATGAGCAAGTATTGCTGTAAGGTCCTGAAAGCAATTCAAGCCCTAATTCTCAATTTTTGTTAATGATGTGAGTAAATGTTGCTTTCTTAATTTCAGTGCTATTCCTAGTTGACATAGTTCTACATACTATATATTGTGACACTGACAAGGAAAGAAACCAAATCTCAAGTGAAGAACTGGTCCTTTCATTCATCTCTTACATTAGTTGATGGTGAGTAGGATGGTGCAGAGCAAATATATTGGTGTGGGGCGCTGTACAGGTTGGTCTAGGCTCAAGAGATAATGGCCTAGACTTGTATCCAGGAGTGGCTCGGTTCAAATATCAGCTTGTACACTGGCTTTCCTGACTGAGGTTTCCATGGTTTTCTTCTGCTCCCCAAGGTAAATGATGGGATCGTTCCTTGTTTAGGCTATGAGCCCTTCCCTCCAGATCCTTTTCTGGTTCATCATTCATCATCATCATCATCAGTAATCTGTCAGACGACGGGTCCACAGTCTCTTCCAAAACAATTCCTCCACTTGATGCGATCTAGAGCTTTCTCCTTCAAATGATAGTATCCTCTTATGTCCCCAAGGTCATCCAGCATCTTCTTACATCTTCTTCCTTGTCTTCTTGTCACTTCTATCCGTCCCTCTATCTTTCCTTCAATAACTTCTTTTAGAAGGCAGTTTCTGCGTAAAACATGACCAATCCAATTAGCCTTCCATTTTCTTATTTCGTGTAGGATATTCCTCTGCTCACTGACTCTAATTAACACTTCTTCATTTCTCACATAATCGGTCCAACTGATCTTCTCCATCCTTC